AAAATACATTGCTCTGGGGCACTCCAGTGACTCAGTCAGAATTACCCAGACAGACTCCTACCAGCCGGCTCCCCTTCTCTGTGATCTGGACAGCTTACTGCTGAGGCTGAGCCACTGGCCATTCAGATTATATGGGCCGCTGGCTGCATAGGTTAAATGGGCCAGGAGTAGTCTTCAGGAGCCCAGCTAAGAGCTGCTGTGAAAGTGATTGGTGTCTAAATCACATTTTAGATAACCAATGTGTATTGTACCTGGAAATGTCTGTTCATTTAGTCTCTGTTTATTTCCAGATTGTCATAGTTAATGGAGAATGATATGATATGGCAACAAAAAAAAAGCTATTTAAATGGAAAGTCAATGCCCACTGTGAGGATGTCTGATTCCTAACAGTCTTTTACTCCTCTCCTGAATTTATATTGCTAATAACCTCATTGGCTTGATATGTGATTCCTGACAGTCCTGGGCAGCTGTTATAAATGTACATCACTAATAACAGCACCATGGGTCTGGCAGATAGCTGTCCTTAGTGCTATGCATGATTATGCCTTCCCGTCAACCTTGCTCTTATCATGCTAATGTACACCTCCAGTACTTGAGTGGTATTGGACAGAGGTTAAACCTCTGGTGGAGGGGAGGGTTAATTAAGTTTCCCAACAGCGTAGAGTCCTCTACACAAGCTGGAGACACACTTTAACATCTCCTATGCTTTTACATTCTCTTAGTTTTTCCATCTTAATAGCCATAGAATTAGTCCCCTATCAATTCAGACAGGAGAAAAGTCATTCTTGCAGTACTTTTATGTTGTAATATATGTGTTACGTTTGAAACGTATGTCTATTATAGTACAAGGGCAATAGAATAAATACATTTGCTTCATAGGTTGCCAAGGAAACATTGAGCTTGTTTGCCCCAGCCCAGGTGAATTTCTCTGATCGTTTGTGATGGTTTCTACTCTGACTATACATTTCTATTAAGTTGGAAACATAACGTGATATAGAAATTATATCCACATCCATCACTGTCCATTACAAACTTTAGGCCATCTGTCTTAACAAATGCCAAAGCTCTATCTATCCGCTGTTTCACAGTCACAGTGGAGCCAATGTCTCCCTGAATCCATTTGAGTGAGTATCAACAGATGTGGAATTTCAATGAATTCCAATGATGCCCGGCATCTCTTGTTGTAGAGTAATCAACATTAGCTGCGCTCAACACAAGCCCCTCTGTACATTTGATTTGATTATGAGTAAATACATTCCTCTGGCGACTGTCAATGACGTTTAACATGCTGTTGCTCCACAAGGGTGCTGTAACACCAATGTCACGATCACCACAAAGCTCTTCAGCTAACATAAAATAGACTGATAGAGTCAAAATCACTTTTGTTAGTGACTGAATGTATTAAAGGTCCTGTAGTGGCGATTCCCTATGAAAAGCCACTGGCACAGGAGAGAGCTGTCCATAACACATCCACAAAAATCAGCTTTCCAAAAGTTACTCTTTTTGGGTGAAGTTCCCATTTATTGGGCATATAAATGTGATACGGTAAGAACTGTATGTGCTCTCCTCTCACCTGTGCTAACCCTTCCTGGTTACCTGTGCTACCTATATACACACGTGACCAGTGACCCATGACCCCAACATATAGTGCCCTCTAGTGTACAAACAAGTAAAAATAACCCTTGACAGACAACATATACACAACACATAAACAGGCCAAAACGGTTCCTACAGGTCCAATGCAGCTGTTTTTTTTTACCTTACTGTGATTGTTTTCAATTAAATGTCCAAAAATAAACAAAAATAGCTTCTGAGCAAAGATACATTTCTCAAGCAATAATTTTTGCTAGCACTGTCTGTGAGTGGTCTGAGTGGGGAGGGGAAAACTGAAAACTAGCTGTTATTGGCAGAGAGGTTTGGAACGCTCTTTATCAGTCAATTAACTAATTTACCGCATGGTAATGTTACCATGGAAAGGCCAAAAGCTCCATCCCACCAAAACAGACTCTTACACTTAATTTTTATTATTTTCTCATAGTGTGGAAATATTTATAAAACACAGGAGAATCACGTTTTTGACTGCACTGGGCCTTTAACGACTTATGGCAATATGTTTTATCTTATTGGTCATTTTCATGTTTGGTATGTGTCTAGTTATATGCATCAGAAATGCCAGTCCAGTTATACCTAAGTGAAAACTGGCTAAAAAGTTGACAGGAAAGAAAGTTCAGCTAACCCTGTGCTCTGTTTGACACAGACTTCTTGGTCTTGGCAAATGGCCACAGAAGCACACAGAATGACGGTGGTTATACTGACCAATCTGTCTGTCACTCAGTCAGACACACAGACAACAGCACAGGGAGGGAAATTGTGCAGCCCTGATTCCCCTCAGCGTGTTGGTGCTTAACAGCATAATGGCACACATCAAGTGGATAGGGTTGGGCTGTAACTGCCTGAGTTGTCTTCCAACACACAGGATCAGTGGGGATGAGAGGCAGATTAATAGGTTAAGCCCTGCAAATAATCCTTGCGTGTTAGTTGGCTGTTGCGTAAGTGCATACTAACTTATTGTCTCACTATAGAGTGCATAAAATCATGGTGTTTGGATTTCCATGTACAGGTATATGCCTGGATTTTTCATTACGTGCATCTTTCTACAATAGCTTGCATATGTTGGAGTACTAGTCACTCAAGTCAGATAGTATGGTCATAGGCATTGATTGTTTAGGGGAGCATGTCAGGTTCCCTAGTATCCCTGTGTCACTCAACCAGACCACACGCTGTGTCTAGCAGAGGGGGAGGGGTCACAGCTATCTATCTCCTCTATTGCAGCTGGTGTGTACACAAGAATGACACTGACTCGGAGGAGAGAATTGAGCCGTCAATTAATTACCAGGCTGTCTTCTGATCATGTCCTAATTATAGAGTTTAGGCCAGCTGTATGGTGTCCGATCATTTCAGTGCTCCTTCGTTCTCCGTGATTGAAGAGAGCGGGTGAGTGGCCAACCCACTGATGTACAGAGCACTGGCTTGACTCACAATGACCCCCAATATCAATGTGTTTCTTTTTATCACAATTCCACGCTCCACTTTGCCTCAATAGTCTATCTCTCTGGTGTTGCCTTCTACTCCCACTCTCCCATGCCTGAGTGTCTGTGTGTTTTATAGAATTCTGCCGGCAATGTGGTCCTCTGTAGCTCAGCTGGTAGAGCACGGCGCTTGTAACGCCAAGGTAGTGGGTTCGATCCCCGGGACCACCCATACACAAAAATGTATGCACGCATGACTGTAAGTCGCTTTGGATAAAAGCGTCTGCTAAATGGCATATTATTATTATTATTATTATATTACATAGGAATGCATTGGCATGAGCTAGTAAGATGGTTATGTAGGTTGTTTGCAAACCAAATAGAAACTGAATGCTAAAAATAAATCTTCAGTCATCGATTGCAATTCAACTTATCTTGGCGCCACTTATTTACTGAGTTTTTTCGTCATGATCTCAGGAGCCATTATAGCAGCAGGAATATGTTCTGGTTTTTCCCTCTCTCTGCTTTCTGGTCTGTTGGACTGAAACATTAGAATACTGGTAAGCTCTCAAAATGAAGATGTGGAATTATGCACATTTGTATAAATTGTATTGATTCTCTGAGGGGTTTGTGCGCTGTATGCCAATGACTGAAATGTAAAGGATGAAATGGCTGTGAAGAATGCATAGGGGAAAGTTCATGTTGATAGAAAACAAGCATTCCCCCCCCATAAAAAAAAATCTTTGCGTATTATAATATTTTGAAAAACAAAGAATTGTACTGTTTTTCTCTTTCTTCTCTGTCTCGTCAGTCATGGACAAGGCTCTGTAAGCAGATCAGTCTCTTCTACAGTTGAAGTCGGAAGTTTACATACACTTAGGTTGGAGTCATTAAAACTCGTTTTTCAACCACTCCACACATTTCTTGTTAACAAACTATAGTTTTGGCAAGTTGGTTAGGACATCTACTTTGTGACACAAGTAATTTTTCCAACAATTGTTTACAGACAGATTATTTCACTTATAATTCACTGTATCACAATTCCAGTGGGTCAGAAGTTTACATACACTAAGTTGACTGTGCCTTTAAACAGCTTGGAAAATTCCAGAAAATTATCATGGCTTTAGAAGCTTCTGATAGGCTAATTGACATAATTTGAATCAATTGGAGGTGTACCTGTGGATGTATTTCAAGGCCTACCTTCAAACTCAGTGCCTCTTTGCTTGACATCATGGGAAAATCAAAAGAAATCAGCAAAGACCTCAGAAAAACAATTGTAGACCTCCACAAGTCTGGTTCATCCTTGGGAGCAATTTCCAAATGCCTGAAGGTACAACATTAATCTGTACTAACAATAGTATGCAAGTATAAACACCATGGAGACAACAAGGACAACAAAGGCAAGGTATTGGAGTGGCCATCACAAAGCCCTGACCTCAATCCTCTAGAAAATGTGTGGGCAGAACTGAAAAGGTGTGTGCGAGCAAGGAGGCCTACAAACCTGACTCAGTTACACCAGCTCTGTCAGGAGGAATGAGCCAAAATTCACCCAACTTATTGTGGGAAGCTTGTGGAAGGCTACCCATAACGTTTGACCCAAGTTGAACATTTTAAAGGCAATGCTACCAAATACTAATTGAGTGTATGTAATCTTCTGACCCACTGGGAATGTGATGAAAGAAATAAAAGCTGAAATAAATAATTCTCTCTACTATTATTTGGACATTTCACATTCTTAAAATAAAGTGGTGATCCTAACTGATCTAAGACAGGGAATTTTTACTTGGATTAAATGTCAGGAATTGTGAAAAACTGAGTTTAAATGTATTTGGCTAAGGTGTATGTAAACTTCCGACTTCAACTGTATATCGCAGGATGTTGTGTGGTCACACAGAGATTCGAGGCCCAGGGTGCTGGTCGGCCCCTGAGGACGGAGACCAGTGAAGCCAGGCCCCCATACAGTCCTCAGGGATGTTCTCCAGGGGCCACGAGAGGGGCCTCAGTGGACCAGATCAACCCAAAGGGACAGAGGCACCTCAGAGTCCACACAAGTGGTCCAAGAGGAGGGAGCTGGGGGGGGGGGAGAGGCCTCAGAGCCCCAAGGTGGGTCACAGCCTGCGGAGGAAGCTCCAGAAGTACCTGCAGGGCCCGGCGCGGCCTGGGGAGCCCTCCATCCACCAGCCCCAGGACCAGCACTCCCCTGTGGATGTGCAGCAGGACATGTTCATCTGTGACCTGAAGAGAGACCCCTTCAGTGGGGAATTCCCTGGACTCCACTCCTCCCTGCCCAACGGCCGCAGTCACACAGGGATTCTAAACCCACCTGTGGCTGGGGAGTTGGAGCTGAACAGAGAGGGCTTCATCAACGCCCCCTGTACTGTACGCACCAACGGCCCCACCACTAGCCTCCCCACTTCTCCCTCTGGAGAGAACAGCAGCTCTGAATGTCAGGATGGGTTCGGGGTTGTGGAGGACACACACAGGCCTTCTCCTAATGAAGGGGAAGAAGAGGAGGAGGAGGAAGATGAGGAGGGAGAGAAAGGGTCCAGTGACATCGTCGAGCACATACTGAAAGAGCTGCGAGGGATCAACAAGATCCAGGAGGAAATCTCAGACCTGCGGCATTACCTGACCTCTGTGAGGGGCTCTGTGGACGAGGTCTCCTGCTGTGTGGATGCGGTGCTGAATGAGATGGGGGAACTCTGCTCCTATGGAGCCTCAGCACCAGGACCCCAGACCCAGCTCTATCCCCAGACCACTCAGAGGCTCAGCGTCAGGCGTGGCAGCCTGGGTAGACAGAATGCCGTCACAGCCACCAGTCCTTTACTGGAGCGCCGGCACGGGTCTTGGGACAAAGACCCAGTGATGATGATGATGATGATGCCACCCCAGGGGTCACCTAAGAGATGGAGAGAAAGGTTACCTACTTTCCAACCTGAACTACCCGACCAGGAGAACTCAGACCACAGCTCAGATGTGCCCTGTTCAGGGCCAGGATCCAGCCTCTCCTACCTGGAGCGGGGGTATACCCATGATTGCCCCAGCACCAGCTCCCTGTCCTCCGGCCAAAGCTCCAACACTCTGGCCCGGGACACCAGGTACCGCTCTGGTAAGGCCGGGCTGCGGCAGAGCGGTTGGGCATTGGCGGGCATGCAGCATAGTGTGAGTGGAGATGGGTGGTGGAGCGGGGAGAACGGCTGGAGCGAAGAGGACGTCTGCTCCTGTATGAACAGTGGAGAGGAGGTGGAGGACCACTGTGGAGGGCCAGGTGGCTGGGCCAGGTACACCACAGGAGAGACTAGCAGCACCCCAGGCCAGTCCTCCCACAGCAGCTCAGAGCACCTGTCCCTGCTGTTCGGCCGCAACAAAAGCTCCCCTTCCAGCTCTTCCAATGTGGTGGACTGGCGGCCCCCCAGGCAGCAGGGCAGCGATGGACACTTGGAGTGTGACTGTTCAGCCAACTGCCCATACTCCCGGAGCTCCGGCTACCACACCATGGACGCCTACACTGATGATGTGGGGAGCTGTGGGCCGTCCAGGAGCATGAGTCACTCTACTGTGCTGCTCACAGACTGTGATGATGGCTACCTGGAGCTGCACTTCCCCTGTGACCACCGTCTGTCCTCATTTGACGCCCTGGACATGGGATCTGCTAGGAGCCTGGACAGGGAGTGGACTGAACAGTCTCTCGCAGGACACGAAGCAGGAGAGTGGGGGTCGGGGAACCTGCCTAGCCCTGAGCCTGAGAACACCCAGCCCCTCAATGTGGGATTTGATGTGAAGAGCATTGGGAAGGCTGTGCTCACCTTCAGGTCGGCTCTGAAAGGGGCTCTGAGGAAGCTGGAGGGGTCCAGCCCGGAGCATGGTAGAGATGACAGTGAGTCTGAAGCAGCTCCCTCTCCTGTCAGACCCTGCTCCCCTGAACCTCCTGAGGGAGAGATCACTCTGCCAACTGATCACGTCTGCTCTGGGTCTCCACTGGAAGAATACAGCGAGGCTTCAGTGTATGTGGACTGCAGCCCAGCCCAAGAGAACCTGCCGTACTCCCTACAAGCATCCCCAAATGAAAGGACTCACTCCCCCTGCACCCCTACTGAATATCACTCCATGGTGCATTTAGAGCGCCGTGAAGAGTATCAGACTGATGCAGAACTGTCCAACCCAGAGCTGACACCAGACCACAGTCCTCCAGGAGGGGCCAGGCAGAGCCCAGCAGAGTCTAACCTCAGCCCAAGGGGGATAGGGTTAAGTCTAACAGGGTTAAGTCCAATAGGAGAGGACCATGATGGAGCTGATCAGGATGAGTTTAGTGAACAGGATGCTGTCAGCCCTAAGGAACGCCTTGCAAATCTGCAGCGCATCCTGAAAGAAAAGAGACAGAGACGCAAACTCTCCAAATCTTCCCAAGGATCCCAGTCCACTTTCTCTGAGGAGGAGTTCAATCCAGGTAGATCTCCTTTCATGTGTGCTACAGTATTTGCAAGCCCAGCAAAAAATAACTAATCTAACACTTATATTCCCTATGTACCTAAACTTTTAAAGATTTTCTCTGACTGCATTAGCCCATGATTTATAATAATGAATGTAGCATTACACGGTTATGATTGATCCTCCCACCTTTTGATTGAAAATGGTCACTATTGATTGCTAGTGTAGTTCATCTGGTTATTTGATGTTATTTTCTTCGCTATTTATATCCATTAACCCTAATGTTGTCTTTTTTCATGGATGTTTCTTCCTTCCAGACGGCAGCAGAGAAGATGACCAGGTTACTCTCATGCATTTCAAATGAGCTCCCTTTTTAGTTATGTTTTGTTGTTTTCATTCACGCAGATATATTTTGAGTTTTGATGTGACTGTTGCATTTGCCTTTGGGTGTTTTCATATCCTATGCACGGTCCCCATGTTTTTATTTTGTCATACCTTGAACGGAGGTGTTTTAACTCTGCTCGTAATTTATTATTTATTGTTTGCTCCTAATGAATGCATTTTCAAATGGCTTTAGAATTATGTTTTGATTTAATTAAAAGCACCTATTATTTCTCTACTTCAGAAGCTGAATAGGGTAAAATAATGATGTTCTTGGCAGCAATAGAAACACTGTTGTGAAGTTGTTTTGTAGATGCCATATTCTGAGCACAAGCTCCAGTGTTTACACACAGCAACCGATCCTGCCTGGTTTCCTCAGAACTGTTTCAAACGCTGTCAGAACCTCCTAGTACAGGAGAGGGAGAGGAGAGCCCAGATACCCAACTCTAGTCCCATTAATCTGAGAGGAGGAGGTGCACAGGCACTGATGAAACACTTTACTTCAGAGGAAGAGAGATGAAATACAACTGTCGTTTTTTTCCATGTTATTGTACAATTCCAAAAAAGTTCTCTGACGTGCTTCCCCCCCCCCCCCCAAAGTTATCCCAGTTGTACTTTGAACATCTGCGCAACAAAAACAAGTTGGTCCTTGTTTTATTTGCATCTGTACATTGTTAGTGATGTCGAACAGAAAACTGGTCATTAATATGTTTCTCATCTCTTTCCCTGTCTCATTTTACATGCACCTCCCTCTTGCTATTGATTTATATATTTTTCATCTTATTTGATCTATTTTAGGCTTTTCAGTTTGGCAACAATCATTAGATGCCATGTATGGATCAAATGTGATCCTCTCCTTGTCTCAAGACATTACTTAAAATGGTGTTCTGAATGTGTTCTCTATGTACCATCCAAGAGGTGAAACTCAACCAGCTGTGTGTCTTTCCATTCTCTCTAACCTCTGTGTACCTTTTTAACATATAAAAATAAGTATATTGCTGTGGTGTAATAGCTGCATCTGAAAACCTAATGTGTTTTAAATCCTGCAGGGACGAGATGATGGACCCAACTCCAGACAAGCTTGGATCAAGCCAGGGTAAATGATGACGACACCCAAATCATTTATTTCAATGTTGATTTAGATTTGCCATGCTTTTTTAATGTGCTGAAAAAACTAATGTATCTGTTTCTGTATGAGTACAAGGGTATCATTCTGTTCTGTTCCACAGCGGTGGAAGTGGTTTGTTTGGGATTGACAGCATGCCAGACCTTCGTAAGAGGAAGCCTATACCCCTGGTCAGCGATGTGGTAAGTGTTTCCTCCCATCCTTGTCAGTGCTTAAAATCTTAGTGCTGTTCTATCTGTCAGTACATGTTTTTCTATCCTGTAATACCGTCACAAGAGAAGCATCTTGATAATTGAGGATTAAATTAATAATTTCAGTATTTGCTTAAGGTAGATCTGGTAAAAGAAAAAAAAAAAAAAGGTCATAGCATGAGGAATCGCCAAGATATCACCCAATGAGGCACATGTGAAACCAGTCTTATAATCTCTCTCTCCCTCCTCTCTTAATCCCTTAACTATCCCCCACAACTTGCTTGAATGCAATCATTTTCCTTGGTCAGGCTATGGTAAGTGGAAATAACCCAATTGCCCCTCCCCTTTGTAGTCAGAAATGTAAAGGCAATACTGTATATCAAGTAGGACAAATTGCACTGCTTGTGCAAAGCTGTACTGCAAACAATGTGTACTAATGTGCAACAAGGGTTTTATGGTGCAAATAAGTAACCATATGTCACCATGCAACTGCACTGTAGTGTTCCTACTTGATATAATAACTTAAAACAACATTCCCTTCCTTGTATTCTACCTCTCCCCTTAATTCATTCATATGATTGGTTGATTTTGTTCTGTTGGGTTTTTACTCTCCACCCTTACATGCTGAACCATGAACAGACCATCACTACCAGGGTTTTAGCAAAATCCACCATTGGTAACACTCAAGCACCTGGGTTAAGTCTCTGTTTCTTCGACTGGTCAGTGATGGTTCAGTTCTGCCCATGTTGTCACCTCTTATATGACCTGTGTTGTAACAATCCTTACAGGAGTTCCTTCCTTCATCTGATTTAGTTTGGGGTGTTAAAGCTCTATGGGCCTTGGATTACTCACTTGGGTAGTACACTCACTGGGTAAAGGTCCTAACAACTCATTTCCAAATTCATCTAACACTTACAATACTCAACCGATCTTTGTAGTCACTGTTTGGGGTTAGTTGAAGGGTTATGGTGAGTTACCATGGCAACTAACAATCTTCCTCTGTCATCCAAGTCACTGGTCCAGGCCAGGAAGGCTGGAATCACCTCTTCCATGGCCGCACGGTCATCCGTCAAAGACGAGGAGCTGGTGAGTACATCATGGGATACATATTACTCTGAAATAATCAAAACTCTATTCAAATCTCACCAGAGAGTAACTCTGTGTTGTTTTTATCACACTGCTTTGCTTTATCTTGGCCAGGTCGCAGTTGTAAATGAGAACTTGTTCTCAACTGGCTTACCTGGTTAAATAAAGGTGAAAAAAAAAAAGAGAAGACCAATATCATAGGAACAAGTCAAATCTCAGTATCCTCACTCGCTGCTCTCTCCTCCCTCCTCTGTAGAAGAACCACGTTTATAAGAAGACCCTACAGGCTCTGATCTACCCCATCTCCTGCACCACGCCCCATAACTTTGAGGTGTGGACAGCCACCACGCCCACCTACTGCTACGAGTGCGAGGGGCTGCTGTGGGGCATCGCCCGCCAGGGCATGAGGTGCTCCGAGTGCGGGGTCAAGTGTCACGAGAAGTGCCAGGAGCTGCTGAATGCCGACTGCCTGCAGCGTAAGTACAGCACAGCGGAAGTTGGACTAAGAGACTTTCGCGATGACAAAGCTTTATTGCTGAGCTTAGTTGCCTAATGCAGGCAATCACATGATTGACAGTGTGTGAAATGTCAATTTGTAATGGATTTGTACTTTATAATTTCTCTGATTGACAAGTTTGACACTTTTCCAGACTTTGTCTACAGAGTTTCTGGCTCAAACTTTCTTGTTTAATTACTTTTACCTCATCTCCATCCCAGAATACAGCTGTCAGTGATATATAAAGTACTGTGGAATTATGGTGTACGTCATTGGTTATGATTGATGTTTCAGTGAAGACATAATTATACATCCACCTGATTTTAAATCATTCTGATGACTCGGACCTGAAAATAAATAGCTTAAACAACTGGATAGATATAAACAGATTTGCCTATTTACATCACAACCTTCACATACTGCGCCAAAAAGAGACTGCTTGCTGATTTTCTAGGTGCTGCGGAGAAGAGTTCAAAGCATGGGGCTGAGGATCGTACCCAGAACATCATCATGGCCATGAAGGACCGCATGAAGATCAGGGAGAGGAACAAGCCGGAGATCTTTGACGTGATCCGGGATGTGTTTGTCATCAGCAAGGTGATCCACGCTCAGCAGATGAAGACCATCAAACAGAGTGTATTGGATGGAACCTCCAAGTGGTCAGCCAAGATCACCATCACAGGTACACAGACACAGGGAGTAATGTTATGGCACCAGTGGTCATGTTCCACAAACTGTTCTATTCTACTGTAAATCGTCTCTTTCTCTTCCCATCTGACTTTGTCCATGTCTCTCTATTGATGTCAACCTGCCTCCTGTCCCACATCATCTGCCTGTCTGCAGTGCTGTGTGCCCAGGGACTGCAGGCCAAAGATAAGACGGGTTCCAGTGACCCCTATGTCACGGTCCAGGTGGGCAAGACCAAGAAGAGGACCAAGACCATCTATGGCAACCTCAACCCTGTCTGGGAGGAGAACTTCCACTTGTGAGGCTATTTAACCTGGCCCTGCTAATGTCTGGGATCTTGTGTGTAGTCGGTAGTATTCTCTTGTAAAAATGTGGGTTCCTATGTGTAATAAGGTGGGTTCTATGTGTAGTAAAGTGGGTTCCTATGTGTAGTAAAGTGGATTTCTATGTGTAGTAAAGTGGGTTCTTAAGCGGGTTTGTATGTGTAATAAAGTGGGGTTCCTATGTGTAATAAAGTAGGTTCCTACGTGGGGTTCTATGTGTAGTAAAGTGGGGTTCTATGTGTAGTAAAGTAGGTTTCTATGTGTAGTAAAGTGGGTGTTTATGTGTAAGCAGGCCATGGCATGACTAAGCCTCAGGCTGTCTAGGTTTCCTCACCCAAAGGAGTCTGTAGTCCTATTAACACACTTCCACATTGTCACACGCTGTCTGGAGCCTTCTGACAATGTCAGACACTCATTTATTCAGGGTAGTGGTACACATGTGTAATTAACTCTTTCGTCGTTCCCCTTAATTGACATTAGGCCAAACCAAGTTCAGTTTAATTATCGAAGAATGAACTGCAATGTGTACATCAAAGCAATGTAATTACCATGCATATCATTTCTTGGTATCAAGTCTTCACATTTACACTACCTTACTCATTTTCTCCCCCAGCGAGTGTCATAACTCATCGGACCGTATCAAGGTACGTGTGTGGGACGAGGACGATGACATCAAGTCCCGGGTGAAGCAGCGTCTAAAGAGAGAGTCAGATGACTTCCTGGGTCAGAGCATCATCGAGGTCCGCACGCTCAGCGGAGAGATGGACGTCTGGTACAACCTGGGTACGTCACAAGTCCTCTCTACAGTATAATGTGTGCTGTTTGTGAGAGGAAGGTTGTGTGTTGGAGACCCATTGTTATTATGTTAAGTAAAGGTAAAGATGAGTTGTTGGGGCACTACACAACATCACAGCCCCGAGAAATAGTAGTCAGGACACAATGGACAACTTCTATTCTTCATTTTAATTTATAAACTGGGGTGTTTCGAGCCCTGAATTCTGATTGGCTGACAGCCATGGTATATCAGAGCGTGTACCACAGGTATGACAAAACATTTATTTTTGCTGCTCTAATTACGTTGGTAACCAGTTTATAATAGCAATAAGGCACATCGGTTATTATTGCTTAAATAATCCCTCCTTCATGTAATCTCTGGAGCGAATCAATCAATCAATCAAATGAATTTATGAAGCCCTTTTTACATCAGCAGATGTCACAAAGTGCTATACAGAAACCCAGCCTAAAACCCTAAACCGCAAGCAATGCAGATGTAGAAGCACGGGGGCTAGGAAGACCTCCCTAGAAAGGCAGGAACCTAGGGAGGAACCAGGCTCTGAGGGGTGGCCAGTCCTCTTCTGGCTGTTCCAGGTGGACATTATAAGAGTACATGGCCATGAAGGCCAGATTGTTCTTCAAGATGTTCATAGATGACCAGCAGGGTCAAATAATAATCACAGTGGTTGCGAAGCTATTCAAATGTTCCAGTAGCAGGTCAACTGAGGCGGTTGAACAGGGAAGTCTCTGTTCTTTATAGCCAGGGCAGTGCCGGTCTCTCCTCTATATAACCTGACATAGCATCCCTCTCCCTTTCACAGCCTCTCCTCAGTCCTCACATGCCGAGAGGCTATATTTTTTGTGTGTGTGGGTCTTTGTTGGGATTCAGACGGAAGTGCTTTTATTCAGCCGTCACGTTGAAAGAATATTCCCTTCTACTCATCTGATGGGGCTGGTGTGAGAGTCAAACATTTGAGATTATCAGAAGGAGGTTGGTTCTTCAGATGTGTACTGCTATAATCCCGATCACTCATAAATCCACTCTTCTAAGTTACGCCGGCCAAAGGCATATTCTGTTAGCTTCCTCCTTGCATCCGCCAAACCCCCACCCCTTAAATGTTTTTTTAAATCATACTCTATCATTAGTTTGCTCTATAGGAGGGCTGAAATCAACCCTTTAAACGAACAGATTGTTAGTTGCTGCACAGTGCTTTGTCTTAATGGACTATCTGTCAGAGGGCTAGTTAATGATGGGTAGAAAGTCTAAGAAGAAGACTCTTATTGAAGACATCTTACAGTAACTAAGTGGGTTAGCTAGCATCATAGCGCATCTGCCTCTCTCATGTCACCAGCTCTGTTCTAAATCCCAGCCCTCTTCTGTAGTCCAGTCTTCTACCTCATTACCCACGTCTCCCTTGGCCAGCAGCACCATTTTTCTTGTCCAATTACTTGACTTTTTAAAAGGACTCCACCATGATACTACTGAAACAAGCCTTCAAAGGAACAACACTTCTTGAATGTTAAAGGGGTTATGGGGTGGTTGTGAAGTGTGTTAGCTCTATGAAAAGGGGAAATGTATGTACAGTGGGGAAAAAAGTATTTAGTCAGCCACCAATTGTGCAAGTTCTCCCACTTAAAAAGATGAGAGAGGCCTGTAATTTTCATCATAGGTACACGTCAACTATGACAGACAAATTGAGAATTTCTTTTCCAGAAAATCCCATTGTAGGATTTTTAATGAATTTATTTGCAAATTATGGTGGAAAATAAGTATTTGGTCACCAACAAACAAGCAAGATTTCTGGCTCTCACAGACCTGTAACTTCTTCTTTAAGAGGCTCCTCTGTCCTCCACTCGTTACCTGTATTAATGGCACCTGTTTGAACTTGTTATCAGTATAAAAGACACCTGTCCACAACCTCAAACAGTCACACTCCAAACTCCACTATGGCCAAGACCAAAGAGCTGTCAAAGGACACCAGAAACACAATTGTAGACCTGCACCAGGCTGGGAAGACTGAATCTGCAATAGGTAAGCAGCTTGGTTTGAAGAAATCAACTGTGGGAGCAATTATTAGGAAATGGAAGACATACAAGACCACTGATAATCTCCTTCGATCTGGGGCTCCACGCAAGATCTCACCCCGTGGGGTCAAAATGATCACAAGAACGATGAGGTGCCGTTCCCCTCACAGCTCCATAGGCAAGCACCATGGTCTTGTAACAGATGCGAGCTTCAACTGGAAGCCAGTGGAGTGTGCGGAGGAGCGGGGTGATGTGAGAGAACTTGGGAAGGTTGAACACCAGACGGGCTGCGGCATTCTGGATGAGTTGTAGGGGTTTAATGGCACAGGCAGGGAGCCCAGCCAACAGCGAGTTGCAGTAATCCAGACGGGAGATGACAAGTGCCTGGATTAGGACCTGTGCCGCTTCCTGTGTAAGGCAGGGTCGTACTCTCCGAATGTTGTAGAGCATGAACCTACAGGATCGGGTCACCGCCTTGATGTTAGCGGAGAACGACAGGGTGTTGTCCAGGGTCACGCCAAGGCTCTTCGCACTCTGGGAGGAGGACACAACGGAGTTGTCAACCGTGATGGCGAGATCATGGAACGGGCAGTCCTTCCCCGGGAGGAAGAGCAGCTCCGTCTTGCCAAGGTTCAGCTTGAGGTGGTGATCCGTCAGCCATACCGATATGTCTGCCAGACATGCAGAGATGCGATTCGCCACCTGGTTATCAGAAGCGGGAAAGGAGAAGATTTGTTGTGTATCGTCAGCGTAGCAATGATAGGAGAGGCCATGTGAGGATATGACAGAGCCAAGTGACTTGGTGTATAGCGAGAATAGGAGAGGGCCTAGAACTGAGCCCTGGGGGACACCAGTGGTGAGAGCACGTGGTGCGGAGACAGCTTCTCGCCACGCCACTTGGTAGGAGCGACCGGTCAGGTAGGACGCAATCCAAGAGTGAGCCGCGCCGGAGATGCCCAGCTCGGAGAGGGTGGAGAGGAGGATCTGATGGTTCACAGTATCAAAGGCAGCAGACAGGTCTAGAAGGACAAGAGCAGAGGAGAGAGAGTTAGCTTTAGCAGTGCGGAGAGCCTCCGTGACACAGAGAAGAGCAGTCTCAGTTGAATGACCAGTCTTGAAACCTGACTGGTTTGGATCAAGAAGGTAATTCTGAGAGAGATAGCAAGAGAGTTGGCTAGAGACGGCACGCTCAATAGTTTTGGAAAGAAAATAAAGAAGGGATACTGGTCTGTAGTTGTTGACATCAGAGGGATCGAGTGTTGTTTTTTTTGAGAAGGGGTGCAACTCTCGCTCTCTTGAAGACGGAAGGGACATAGCCAGCGGTCAAGGATGAGTTGATCAGCGAGGTGAGGTAGGGGAGAAGGTCACCGGAGATGGTCTGGAGAAAAGAGGAGGGGATAGGGTCAAGCGGGCAGGTTGTTGGGCGGCCTGCAGTCACAAGTCGCAAGATTTTATCTGGAGAGAGAGGGGAGAAAGAAGTCAAAGCATAGGGTAGGGCAGTGTGAGCAGGACCAGCAGTGTCATTTGACTTATCAAACGAGGATCGGATGTCGTCAACCTTCTTTTCAAAGTGGTTGACGAAGTCATCCACAGAGGGGGAGGGGGGGGGGGGATTCAGCAGGGAGGAGAATGTGGCAAAGAGCTTCCTAGGGTTAGAGGCAGATGCTTGGAATTTAGAGTGGTAGAAAGTGGCCTTAGCAGCAGAAACAGATGAAGAAAATGTAGAGAGGAGGGAGTGAAAAGATGCCAGGTCCGCAGGGAGTCTAGCTTTCTTCCATTTCCGCTCAGCTGCCCGGAGCTCTGTTCTGTGAGCTCGCAATGAGTCATCAAGCCACGTAGCTGGAGGGGAGGACCGAGCCGGCCGGGAGGATAGGGGACATAGAGAGTCAAAGGATGCAGAAAGGGAGGAGAGGAGGGTTGAGGAGGCAGAATCAGGAGATTGGAGGGAGAAGGATTAAGCAGAGGGAAGAGATGATAGGATGGAAGAGGAGAGAGTAGCGGGAGAGAGAGAGCGAAGGTTGCGGCGGCGCATTACCATCTGTGTAGGGGCAGAGTGAGTAGTGTTGGAGGAGAGCGAGAGAGAAAAGGATACAAAGTAGTGGTCGGAGACATGGAGGGGAGTTGCAGTGAGATTAGTAGAAGAACAGCATCTAGTAAAGATGAGGTCAAGCGTATTGCCTGCCTTGTGAGTAGGGGGGGACGGTGAGAGGGTGAGGTCAAAAGAGGAGAGGAGTGGAAAGAAGGAGGCAGAGAGAAATGAGTCAAATGTAGACGTAGGGAGGTTGAAATCCCCTGTGAGGGGTGAGCCATCCTCAGGAAAGGAACTTATCAAGGCGTCAAGCTCATTGATGAACTCTCCAAGGGAACCTGGAGGGCGATAGATGACAAGGATATTAAGCTTAAATGGGCTAGTGACTGTGACAGCATGGAATTCAAATGAGGAGATAGACAGATGGGGGGACACATGGGGGGACCTAGTGAATGACCTGCAGAGAGCTGGGACCAAAGTAACAAAGCCTACCATCAGTAACACACTACGCCGCTAGGGACTCAAATCCTGCAGTGCCAGACGTGTCCCCCTGCTTAAGCCAGTACATGTCCAGGCCCGTCTGAAGTTTGCTAGAGTGCATTTGGATGATCCAGAAGAGGATTGGGAGAATGTCATATGGTCAGATGAAACCAAAATATAACTTTTTGGTAAAAACTCAACTCGTCGTGTTTGGATTACAAAGAATGCTGAGTTGCATCCAAAGAACACCATACCTACTGTGAAGCATGGGGGTGGAAACATCATGCTTTGGGGCTGTTTTTCTGCAAAGGGACCAGGACGACTGATCCGTGTAAAGGACAGAATGAATGGGGCCATGTATCGTGAGATTTTGAGTGAAAACCTCCTTCCATCAGCAAGGGCATTGAAGATGAAACGTGGCTGGGTCTTTCAGCATGACAATGATCCCAACCACACCGCCCGGGCAACGAAGGAGTGGCTTCGTAAGAAGCATTTCAAGGTCCTGGAGTGGCCTAGCCAGTCTCCAGATCTCAACCCCATAGAAAATCTTTGGAGGGAGTTGAAAGTCCGTGTTGCCCAGCGACAGCCCCAAAACATCACTGCTCTAGAGGAGATCTGCATGGAGGAATGGGCCAAAATACCAGCAACAGTGTGTGAAAACCTTGTGAAGACTTACAGAAAACGTTTGACCTGTGTCATTGCCAACAAAGGGTATATAACAAAGTATTGAGAAACTTTTGTTATTGACCAAATACTTATTTTCCACCATAATTTGCAAATAAATTCATTAAAAATCCTACAATGTGATTTTCTGGATTTTTTTTCTCATTTTGTCTGTCATAGTTGACGTGAACCTATGATGAAAATTACAGGCCTCTCTCATATTTTTAAGTGGGAGAACTTGCACAATTGGTGGCTGACTAAATATTTTTTTCCCCCACTGTACACTTTCTCTAGATTATGTGAAATATACATTTTAGCTAAGGTTACTCATTGAATGTGTTCGATACCACACAGTAAAAGAGGAGATTTGAAATCAGTAGTAAACCCACTCCACTCCCCTACTATCCCCTTCTCTCTCTCAACTCCCCTCCATCCTCTCAGGGGAGAGATCCTCCTTGATTATTATGTAGCGCACTCCAGGAAGTCGACCGCTCCAACGACACGTACAAATTAGCCTAATAATGTCAGGGGAAATAGCCGGGTTGTGCTGCCGAACACGGCACTTCCAGAATAAGACCAGCTGAAGTGTCATCAGCCGGGAAGAACAAGAACGAATCTATACAACCCTGAGCCCTTGTCCTCAGTACAAACTGGAGTAGTAGTCCTATTACTATAGCACATACAGAATAGCCCTGTAACGGATCCTCTATGAACCTGTTTTATTTATTTATATATATATATATATATGTGTGTGTGTATGTATATGTATATGTATGTGTGTGTATATGAATGTATGTATGTCTATATATGTATATACAGTACCAGTCAAAAGTTTGGACACACCTACTCATTCAAGGGTTTTTCTTTATTTTTACTATTTTCTACATTGTAGAATAATAGTGAAGACATCAAAACTATGAAATAACAGATATGGAATCATGTAGTAAACAAAAAAGTGTAAAACAAATCAAAATATATTTTATATTTGAGATTATTCAAATAGCCACCCTTTGCCTTGATGACAGCTTTGCTCACTCTTGGCATTCTCTCAACCAGCTTCACATGGAATGCTTTTCCAACAGTCTTGAAGGAGTTCCCACATATGCTGAGCACTTGTTGGCTGCTTTTCCTTCTCTCTGCCATCCGACTCATCCCAAACCATCTCAATTGGGTTGAGGTCAGGGGATTGTGGAGGCCAGGTCATCTGATGCAGCACTCCATCACTCTCCTTCTTGGTAAAATAGCCCTTACACAGCCTGGAGGTGTGTTGGGTCATTGTCCTTTTGAAAAACAAATGATAGTCCCACTAAGCCCAAACCAGATGGGATGGCGTATCGCTGCAGAATGCTGTGGTAGCCATGCTGGTTAAGTGTGCCTTGAATTCTAAATAAATCACAGACAGTGTCACCAGCAAAGCACCCCCGTAGCATAACACCTCCTCCTCCATGCTTTACGGTGGGAAATACACATGCAGAGATCATCCATTCACCCACACCGCGTCTCACAAAGACACGGCGGTTGGAACCAAAAATCTCAAATTTGTTTCTTAGCCCAAGCAGGTCTCTTCTTATTATTGGTGTCCTTTAGTAGTGGTTTCTTTGCAGCAATTCGACCATGAAGGCCTGATTCACACAGTCCCCTCTGAACAGTTGATGTTGAGTCTGTTACTTGAACTCTGTGAAGCATTTATTTGGGCTGCAATTTCTGAGGCTGGTAACTCTAATTAACTTATCCTCTGCAGCAGAGGTAACACTGGGTCTTCATAGCGCTTGATGGTTTTTGCGACTGCACTTAAAAAAACTTTCAAAGCTCTTGACATTTTCCGGATTGACTGACCTTCATGTCTTAAAGTAATGATGGACTGTCATTTCTCTTTGCTTATTTGAGCTGTTCTTGCCATAATATGGACTTGGTCTTTTACCAAATAGGGCTATCTTCTGTATAACCCCCTACCTTGTCACAACACAACTGATTGGATGAAACACATTAAGAAGGAAAGAAATTCCACAAATTAACTTTTAAGAAGGCACAACTGTTAATTGAAATGCATTCCAGGTGACTACCTCATGAAGCTGGTTGAGAGAATGCCAAGAGTGTGCAAAGCTGTCATCAAGGCAAAGGGTGGCTATTTGAAGAATCTCAAATATAAAATATATTTAGATTTGTTTAATATTTTTTTGGTTACTACATGATTCCATATGTGTTATTTCATAGTTTTGATGTCTTCACTATTATTCTACAATGTAGAAAATGGTAAAATTAAAGAAAAACCCTTGAATGAGTAGGTGTGTCCAAACTTTTGACTGGTACTGTATATATATATATATGTGTATATGTCTATAATTGGTGTTAGAAAGGGCAGACCTGGTTAGTGTGCCAGATCTAGATTGAAGTAATTGATTCACTGACGTGTGTGCGTGTGTCTATTGTTACAGAGAAGAGGACAGACAAGTCAGCCGTGTCTGGGGCCATCCGTCTCCAGATCAGTGTGGAGATCAAGGGAGAGGAGAAAGTAGCTCCCTATCACGTACAGTACACCTGTCTACACGAGGTATGACACTCAGTACATCTCTACTGCAGACACTAAATCTAGTCCTAAACCAGCCCTAAAAGCACAGCTTCTTGTGGGTCTCTATATCTCACTGACATTGTGGCTGTCTGCTTTCTAGAACCTGTTCCACCACTCAACGGACATTCTGGGCCAAGGGGTAGTGAGGATCCCCGACGCTAAAGGAGACGATGCCTGGAAGGTGTACTTTGACGAGGTGTCCCAGGAGATAGTGGATGAGTTCGCAATGCGCTACGGGATCGAGTCCATCTACCAGGCCATGACGTGAGTCAGAGGGAGCAGACCACTCTCTCGCGCATTCTCTCTCTCTCTTGCACTCTCTCTCCATCTTGCTTTCTGTCCGTCTCCCCTTCTCCTCCCCCCTCTCTCTAATATGAAATAACCGTTTGGTGCTGTTGTCATTCCCTGGCGGCCTCCAAATGAAGGAAAGTCAATTATAAATGGTCTTAGAATGGATCTGTTTCCATGACGTGCCATTCTTCATACAGATGCCTGTTAACCGGGTCCATCACTCACATAAAGCACACTCAGGTGGCCATCCCTCAGCCAGAATGGGGCAGGGGCTTGATGGGAGAAATGAAACAGCCGTCCCACATAGGGAGGGATCATTCGGTGTAATCCTGATCCCAGAGAGGGTGCTAGGTAGCTAAACATAGACCTACTCTTGTGCTCTGTTAGAACCTGCATAACATCCCATAATATTCACTACTGTAGATTATTTTGTCCCACGATGAAAGAAAATGTCTATCTTGTGAAATTGGTTCAAATTGATTGCATTATTTACATTACATCAAAGTCATTATGATTTGTGTGCAAGATACATAATAAATACATGAATGAATAGAATCCATCAACAGCATCATGTCTCATTTAGCTACTGTCTCTGAGCCCTCCCTGACTGTAGTGCCCTCTGCTGGTGTGTTTAGAAACTTCGCCTGCCTCTCCTCTAAGTACATGTGTCCTGGTGTTCCCGCGGTTATGAGCACCCTGCTTGCCAACATCAATGCCTTCTACGCCCACACTACCGCTTCCACCAACGTCTCCGCCTCTGACCGCTTTTCCGCCTCCAACTTTGGAGTGAGTATGGCCTGACTGACACCCCTCTCCCCAATTACACCATCTTGGCTTCTACCCTGTCCTATAACACAGGATGCCTTTTTCTGAATGTATGTTTTGTTTCCCAATCTCTCTATCATGTACAAATGTCTCTATCCTCTATATGTCCAGATTACAAGCTCTGTTTTTACTTCTATTGTTCTTATTTTCTCTCCAACAGAAAGAGCGCTTTGTCAAGCTCTTGGATCAACTCCACAACTCCTTACGCATTGACCTCTCCACATACAGGGTGAGTTACACATATTTCACCTGAACCTCAAAATGAACTTGTTGGTTGAACTACACCTTCCCCTTTTATCTCTGTGTTCCTAATGGTCCCCCGTTCTTCTCATCCAGAACAATTTTCCTGCCAGCAGTAAGGACCGTCTCCAGGACCTCAAGTCCACTGTAGACCTCCTGACTAGCATCACCTTCTTCAGGATGAAGGTAGGCTTACGCCAAGGCCTCAGAGGGAAATGAAACACAGACTCAGGGTTCTGTTCTCTCTGTGCAAAAACCCCCTCAAATGCACTCCTATCTCTGGTAGAACAGAGAGATCTGTTATCTTCCTTAACACACTGAATACAGATATCTGTACTGTGACAGTAACTCCCCACCTCTCCCTCTCTGAAACGCTCACCATCTCCCTCTGGTGTCCAGGTCCAGGAACTGCAGAGTCCCCCCAGAGCCAGTCAGGTGGTGAGGGACTGTGTCAAGGCCTGTCTCAACTCCACCTACGACTACATCTTCAACAACTGCCAGGAGCTGTACAGCCGCCAGTACCAGCCGCTGGACACAGTGAGTCACTCAGACCCACTCAGGTTCTACTCACTTTCTAGTGCAGTGCTATTTACACTAATGGACTTAATGCAGGTTATTCATATGACAAGGGATATTGCTTTAATCCAGCAGTGTTGCGTTACATGCAGTGTTTCGTCTGACTGGGATTGTGGTTATAGTTGTGTTCTTGTCCAGAGCAAGCTGTGTTAGTCTGACTGTGTGGTTGTGTTCTTGTCCAGCACAAAGAGGATCTTTCCCTGGAGGAGCAGGGCCCCAGCATCAAGAACCTGGACTTCTGGCCCAAACTGATCACCCTTATCGTCTCCATCATAGAGGAGGACAGGAACTCCTACACACCCGTCCTCAGCCAGTTAGTACTAAATTAGTATTACTTAACTAATGTACTAATGATTTCTGTTTTGATGTTCTATTTCCAGTATCTAATGCTGCTCTGTGCCATTTCTCCTCCAGGTTCCCTCAGGAGCTGAACGTGGGGAAGGTGTGTGCTGAGGTCATGTGGACGCTGTTCTCCCAGGACATGAAGTATGCCATGGAGGGTGAGTCTCCACGGATGCCCCTCTCAGGAACCATGCAGACATGTCCTCTATCTGGGTCATTTTTGGGTCAAGCTCCTAACCCACTACTACTATATCCCTAGACTTACCTGGCCCTACCTAGGCCCTTTCTCTGGGTGTTTGTGTGCATTGTAGCTACAGTTGAATTCGGAAGTTTACATACACTTAGGTTGGAGTCATTAAAACTATAGTTTTGGCAATCTACTTTGTGCATGACACAAGTAATCTTTCCAACAATTCTTTACAGACAGGTTATTTCACTTATAATTCACTGTTTCACAATTCCAGTGGGTCAGAAGTTTACAATACACTAAGTTGACTGTGCCTTTAAACAGCTTGGAAAATTCCAGAAAATGATGTCATGGCTTTAGAAGCTTCTGATAGGCTAATTGACATAATTTGAGGTGTACCTGTGGATGTATTTCAAGGCCTACCAAGGTATTTCAAACTCAGTGCCTCTTTGCTTGACATCATGGGAAAATCAAAAGAAATCAGCTAAGACCTCAGAAAAAAAATTGTAGACCTCCACAAGTCTGGTTCATCCTTGGGAGCAATTTCCAAACACCTGAAGGTACCATGTTCATCTGTACAAACAATAGTACGCAAGTATAAACACCATGGGACCACGCAGCCATCATACCGCTCAGGAAGGAGACGCGTTCTGTCTCCTAGAGATGAACGTACTTTGGTGCGAAAAGTGCAAATCAATCCCAGAACAACAGCAAAGGACCTTGTGAAGATGCTGGAGGAAACAGGTACAAAGGTATCTATATCCACAGTAAAACAAGTCCTATATCGACATAACCTGAAAGGCCGCTCAGCAAGGAAGAAGCCACTGCTCCAAAACCGCCATAAAAAAGCCAGACTACGGTTTGCAACTGCACATGGGGACAAAGACCGTACTTTTTGGAGAAATGTCCTCTGGTCTGATGAAACAAAAATATAACTGTTTGGCCATAATGACCATTGTTATGTTTGGAGGAAAAAGAGGGACACTTGCAAGCCGAAGAACACCATCCCAACCGTGAAGCACGGGGGTAGCAGCATCATGCTGTGGGGGTGCTTTGCTGCAGGAGGGACTGGTGCACTTCACAAAATAGATGGCATCATGAGGAAGGAAAATTATGTGGATATATTGAAGCAACATCTCAAGACATCAGTCAGGAAATTAAAGCTTGGTCGCAAATGGGTCTTCCAAATGGACAATGACCCCAAGCATACTTCCAAAGTTGTGGCAAAATGTCTTAAGGACAACAAAGTCAAGGTATTGGAGTGGCCATCACAAAGCCCTGACCTCAATCCTATAGAACATTTGTGGGCAGAACTGAAAAAGTGTGTGCGAGCAAGGAGGCCTACAAACCTGACTCAGTTACACCAGCTCTGTCAGGAGGAATGGGCCAAAATTCACCCAACTTATTGTGGGAAGCTTGTGGAAGGCTTCCCGAAACGTTTGACCCAAGTTGAACAATTTAAAGGCAATGCTACCAAATACTAATTGAGTGTATGTATACTTCTGACCCACTGGGAATGTGATGAAATAAATAAAAGCTGAAATAGATAATTCTCTCTACTATTATTCTGACATTTCACATTCTTAAAATAAAGTGGTGATCCTAACTGACCTAAGACAGGGATTTTTTTTACTAGGATTAAATGTCAGGAATTGTGAAAAACTGAGTTTAAATGTATTTGGCTAAGGTGTATGTAAACTTCCGACTTCAACTGTATATGGAGAAAGGATGAGCCCAAGAGGATACCTATGGATTGTGCTGTAGACGCTAAGCAACAGTAAAAGGAAAATAAATCTTCCCAGTCTCTGCCGGCTCCACCCGCTGTCTGTGGCTCAGTCTTTGGCTCAGCCTTGTCTGTCTCTTCTGCCCTGTCTGTCTTTCCGTAATGGATAACGTTGATCATTACCAGTGGCTTCAGGGTAAGACTGACTAGTGAAACGGTACCATACTGTACTATGGGGATAGAATAGACCCTGTTATTATGCTATGCTACAGTATGTGACAGTTTTCGCTTAGCCATTAGTAATCATGGATTTTAGTGTTGAATATAATTGAACTTCTACCACAGCACTACTGTGTGAATCTGACAAAAAATTGTCAGTTGACAGAATGTAGTATTTCATTCATGGTCTGGCAAGCCATTTGCATTCATCAGTTGTGTATGGCTCATCACCATTCTATCCTCCATCTTTTCACTTCTATCTTGCTACATTTCTTTCTATTTGTGTTACCTTGTTCTTCTCTTTCATTTAATTCCTTTGTCCGTGCTCATTTCTCTGTGTTCTAGCCCCATCTGAATTCCACTGTCGTGGGCAGACGTGTTATGGTGGTAAGAGCATCAACCCCACCCCATCACTCCCCCTGTCTTGTTCTCCTCCCAGAACCCCACAATCACCGACAGAGTTAGATCTGTGTTTCCAGGGAAAACTGTCATTTCCAACGGAGATGCCAAGTTAATTCTCTAGGGAAGGCCGTTGTTTCTTTCACTGTGGTAAAGAGAAGGGATCACTGCCGCTACCAAACCTTCCAACCAAGCAAACTGAAGTGGAGAGGAGACTAAATTTAGCGATAGACACGTTTTTATTTAATTCAATTGTCCTCAGTTTTGCTGAATCTCCACTTATTTCACTGTGGTCAGAGTTCCTGACTATGTTTTACATATTCTGTCTCTTCTCTCATTTCATTGCTGAGTATAGAGAATGATGTGTAAGGCTGGGAGAAGAGGGAGCAAGCTACACTGAAGCCGAGGAATGAGGGAGTGAGGGATAGAGGGAGAGAGCGGTATCCCAGGGGAGAATGGAGGAGTTCTGGGGATGTGAGATACAGTAAAGCCCGATGCGGTGCAGAGCGAGAGAGTGATATGTGCTGGGTGTGAAAGCTGCTTATGTCTCCTCTCCCCACAGGTGGACTGTATATCTCTAAGTAGTATCTCCACTTCCCTCTGTCCACATGAAAATGTTCACCATCTCCCAATGATAGATCTTTCTCACGGGAGAGTTGAATAGGTGTGTTTGTGTGTGTGTGCGCGTTTGTGCGTGTGCGTTTGTTTTAAGCACCGTGCCTGGGGGCGCTAGGGGAGTGGGGCCGCCCCACCACACACTCATGCAGGAAGGAAGCCCACTTCAAAGCTGAGAGAGGAGAACCCTCTTGTCACCTGGCTGTGGCTGTACAGTCAACTCAGGGTGGCTGGCTGCTCTTCACTCCTCTACCTCCAAGCTTACTCAGACACTTACTCAGACACTCATGCAGTGCCTTCAGAAACTGTTAACACGTCTTGACTTTTTCCGCATTTTGTTGTGTTACAAGGTGGGATTAAAATTGATTTAATTGTCTGTTTTTGTCAACGATCTACACAAAATACTCAAATGTCAAAGTGGAAGAAAAATTCTAACATTTGTAAAAAATCTATGAAAAATAAAACACTAATATGCAGTATCTTGATTACATAAGTGTTCAACCCTCTGAGTCAATACATGTTAGAATCACCTTTGGCAGCGATTACAGCTGTGTCTTTCTGGGTAAGTCTCTAAGAGCTTTGCTCACCTGGACTGTACAATATTTGCACATGTATTTTTTTTATTCTTCAAGCTCTGTCAAGTTGGTTGTTGATCATTGCTAGACAGCCATTTTCAAGTCTTGCCATCGATTTTCAAGCCGATTTAAGTCAAAACTGTAACTAGGCCACTCAGGAACATTCAATGTCGTCTTGGTAAGCAACTCCAGTGTATATTTGACCTTGTGTTTTAGGTTATTGTCCTGCTCAAAGGTGAATTTGTCTCTTAGTGTCTGTTGTAAAGACGACTGAACCAAGTTTTCCTCTAGGATTTTGCCTGTGCTTAGCTCCATTCCGTTTCCTTTTATCCAAGAAAACTCCTTAGTCCTTGCAGACGACAAGCATACCCATAACATGATGCAGCCACAACCATGCTTGAAAATATGAAGAGTGGTACTCAGTGACGTGTTGTATTGGATTTGCCCCAAACATACAGTGAGGGAAAAAAGTATTTGATCCCCTGCTGATTTTTTACGTTTGCCCACTGACAAAGAAATGATCAGTCTATAATTTTAATGGTAGGTTTATTTGAACAGTGAGAGACAGAATAACAACAAAAAAATCCAGAAAAACGCACATCAAAAATGTTATAAATTGATTTGCATTTTAATGAGGGAAATAAGTATTAGACCCCCTCTCAATCAAAGATTTCTGGCTCCCAGGTGTCTTTTATACATGTAACGAGCTGATATTAGGAGCACACTCTTAAAGGGAGTGCTCCTAATCTCAGCTTGTTACCTGTATAAAATACACCTGTCCACAGAAGCAATCAATCAATCAGATTCCAAACTCTCCACCATGGCCAAGGCCAAAGAGCTCTCCAAGGATGCCAGGGACAAGATTGTAGACCTACACAAGGCTGGAATGGGCTACAAGACCATCGCCAAGCAGCTTGGTGAGAAGGTGACAACAGTTGGTGCGATTATTCGCAAATGGAAGAAACACAAAAGGACTGTCAATCTCCCTCGGCCTGGGGCTCCATGCAAGATCTCACCTCGTAGAGTTGCAAGGATCATGAGAACGGTGAGGAATCAGCCCAGAACTACACGGGAGGATCTTGTCAATGATCTCAAGGCAGCTGGGACCATAGTCACCAAGAAAACAATTAGTAACACACTACGCCGTGAAGGACTGAAATCCTGCAGCGCCCGCAAGGTCCCCCTGCTCAAGAAAGCATATATACAGGCCCTTCTGAAGTTTGCCAATGAACATCTGAATGATTCAGAGGAGAACTGGGTGAAAGTGTTGTGGTCAGATGAGACTAAAATCGAGCTCTTTGGCATCAACTCAACTCGCCGTGTTTGGAGGAGGAGGAATGCTGCCTATGACCCCAAGAACACCATCCCCATCGTCAAACATGGAGGTAGAAACATTATGCTTTGGGGGTGTTTTTCGAGTTGCCAAACATCAGGCTTGAAACCTTAATGACTTGGAGAAGTTCTGCAAAGAGGAGTGGGACAAAATCCCTCCTGAGATGTGTGCAAACCTGGTGGCCAACTACATGAAACCTCTGACATCTGTGATTGCCAACAAGGGTTTTGCCACCAAGTACTAAGTCAGGTTTGCAGAGGGGTCAAATACTTATTTCCCTCATTTAAAATGCAAATCAATTTATAACATTTTGGACATGCGTTTTTCTGGATTTTTTTGTTGTTATTCTGTCTCTCACTGTTCAAATAATCCTACCATTAAAATTATAGACTGATCATGTCTTTGTCAGTGGGCAAATTGACAAAATCAGCAGGGGATCAAATATTTTTTTCCCTCACTGTAATAGTTTGTATTTGTATACATAAAGTTCATTTCTTTGCCAATTGTTTTGCAGTTTTACTTTAGTGCTTTATTCCAAACAGGATGCATGTTTTGCAATATGTTTATTCTGTACAGGCATCCTTCTTTTCACTCTGTCATTTAGGTTAGTGTTGTGGAGTAACTACAATGTTGTTGATCCATCCTCAGTTTTCTCCTATCAGCCATTAAACTCTGTAACTGTTTTAAAGTCACCATTGGCCTCATGGTGAAATCCCTGAGCAGTTTCCTCCGGCAACTGAGTTAGGAAGGATGCCTGTATCTTTATAGTGACTGGGTGTATTGATACACTATCCAAAGTGTAATGAATAACTTCACCATGCTCAAAGGGATATTCAGTGTCTTAAAAAAAAATATGTTTTTACCCGTCTACCAATAGGTGCCCTTCTTTGCGAAGCATTGGGAAACCTCGCTGGTCTTTTGTGGTTGAATCTGTGTTTGAAATTCACTGCTCGACTGAGGAACCATACAGATATTTGTATGTATGGGGTAGTCATTCAAAAACACAGAGTGAGTCCATGCAACTTACAGTGGTGTAACGTATTTAAAAATACTTTATAGTACTACTTAAGTCGTTTTTTCTAGGTATCTGTACTTTACTTTACTATTTATATTTTTGACTACTTTTACTTCACTACATTCCTAAAGAAAATAATGTACTTTTCCCTGACACCCAAAAGTATTCTTTACATTTTCAATGCTTAGCAGGACAGGAAAGTGGTCCAATTCACTCACTTATCAAGAGAACGTCCCTGGTCATCCCTACTGCCTCACTAAACACAAATGCTTAATTTGTAAATGATGTCTGCGTGTTGTAGTGTGCCCCTGGCTATCCGTAAATGTATTTTTTTTAAATAAAGTAAATTGTGCCGTCTGATTTTCTTATTATAAGCAATTTTAAATTATTTATACTTTTCTTTTGATACTTAAGTGTATTTTTGCAATTTACATTTACTTTTGATACTTAAGTATATTTAAAACCAAATACTTTTATACTTTTATCAAGTAGTATTTTTCTGGGTGCCTTTCACTTTTACTTGAGTCATTTTCTATGAAGGCATCTTTACTTTTACTCAAGTATGACAATTGGTTACGTTTTCCACTACTGGCAACTTATTATGTGACTTGTTAAGCACATTTCTACTCCTGAACTTATTTAGGCTTGCCATAACAAAGGGGTTGAATAGTTATTGACTCAAGTCATTTCAGCTTTTAATTTTTTATTAATTTGTACAAATGTCTAAAAGCACTTTGACATTATTGGGTATTGTGTGTAGGCCAGTGAAACAAAATCTCAATTTTATAAATTTTTAATTCAGGCTGTAACACAACAACATTTGGAAAAAGTCAAGGGGTGTGAATACTTTATGAAGGTGTGAATACTTTATGGGTGCATATTTATGCACACTTGTACACACTCAGACACACACACACACACACACACACACAAACAAACACACACACTCAGAGAGACACAACTCACACTGGTGTGTTTGTCTCCACAGAGCATGAGAAACACCGGCTGTGTAAGAGTGTTGACTACATGAACCTGCACTTCAAGGTCAAGAGGCTGTACAATGAGTATGTGAAGGACCTGCCAAACTTCAACAGAGTTGTCCCCGACTACCCATCGTGAGTTAACCATGACTTTGCTAAACTTAACAGAAATGCCTAAAAATAGGTTCACCCTATTTTACCCCGTACTTCATTCTTTCCCATGTGTAGGTGGTTCTTACAGTTTGTGCTGCAGTGGCTGGATGAGAATGAAAGCGTTTCCATGGAGTTCATGCATGGAGCTCTGGAGAGAGACAAGAAAGATGGAGTGAGTAACTGGCAGTAGTTATTTAAGCAATAAGGCACGATGCGGTGTGGTATATGGCCAATATACCAAGGCTAAGGGCTGTTCTTAGGCACGACGCAACGGGTATGACAAAATAAATGTTTTGTCATACCCGTGGTATACGTTCTGATATACCACAACTTTCAGCCAATCAGCATTCATTTTCTTTAGAAACTCGGTGGTTCGAGCACTGAATGCTGATTAGCTGACAGCCGTGGTATATCAGACCGTATACCACGGGTGTGACAAAACATGTATTTTTACTGCTCTAATTACTTTGGTAACCAGTTTATAATAGCAATAAGGCACCTCTGGGGTTTGTGGTATATGGCCATTATACCACTGCTAAGGGATGCATCCAGGCACTCCGTGTTGCGTTGTCGCTAAGAATAGTCCTTAGCCGTGGTATATTGGCCATATACCACACTCCCTCTAGCCTTATTGGTTAATTATACCATGGCATTGTTGAATACCAGTTTCTAATGGGCTTGAAGGGCATTCAAAAGTGTGCATTATTTCCCTATAACGCACGGTATATCAGCATGGTAGAATTCAATGGCTATTAGTTCATTCTTACATGTTTTGTTTGAGCTGCTTTTGAAAGCAAAAGTGGAATTAAAAACATTTATTGGCATTGTTGAATTAGATTTTCATAATAGCAAGCTAGGACTGAAGGTTTGGTTAGCTAAACTAGCAAGTCTGTTTGTTTGGTTACCACGACAACTACTGTAGCTATCTCGTAAACTTGCTAGCTACTTCTGTGGATGTTGAACTAATTTCTACCGACAAATGAACACATTTCTAGTGGCAAATGTGTTAAATTATAGCCATGGTATAAAATGGATAATCAACTCGGAAAAAAATGCAACTCTGTGGATGGCCAGTTCCACTCCACTAGCGCATCATGGAACGCGCATTCCACGTCGTTCATTATTTTCCATAGAACGCATAGCCCCTCGTTGATTATTCCTTTGTCAGTTATTCACTATAAACTAGATAGTTACCTTTTGTCTCCGTCCCCTTTTCCTCCCAGTTCCAGCAGACATCTGAGCATGCTCTCTTCTCCTGCTCGGTGGTGGACGTCTTCACCCAGCTCAACCAGAGCTTTGAGATCATCAAGAAACTGGACTGTCCTGACCCCAAGGTCATGGCCCACTACAGCAGACGATTCGCCAAGGTAACCTTACCCTCCTCATCTGACCTACCTGACAGAACTGTGTGTACTCTAGACCAATGCCTGGAAGGATAGATTGCTCTCTCATATCTCCACCCTTTGTGAGATTCATGTTAGGGAGCCTCGTCCTGAGTCATGCTTGATTTGGACTTTTGGCTTGAAATGTTTTTCTAACAATGGGAGGCAGAGTTTTGCATTTGCTCAAACCAGCGTTGTGTTCGAGACCACCTAATGCGAGACCGAGTCAAGACCGAGACTGCAAGTTTCAAATCGTCACCATAACAAAATGTCCAGTATTTCTGTGTGCATATTTCAGAAGAACGTATGGATTCTATAGACATTCAGAATGGTGAAAAAAATGCATGCTGAGGGAAAATTTGAGCCACTCTACACATTTTTACTAACCCAAACACAGTGGGGAACAATGAGGGCCTTCTACGCTTTCAGAGAAAGGCTAAGGATTTATAAAATAATAATAATAATATTATTATTATTTTCAATGACGTTCTGATTTAAGCTCTTAAGTTTTTGTTAGAAAGGAAAGGGTTAACACTGAAGAGATCCAATCAGGATTTTTCTTTGGTGGTCTCTGGGGAGATAAATCTAGTTAGCTAAGTCAGCCATTGGCTAGGCCATCAGAAGCTTGATAGAAGGCATCTGCCATTCAACTGTATTAGGGCAACATTTTGGAGTGACAGTGGAATCAACCAATCACATTGACTGGAAACTTCTGCCTTCTCGAAGGCCAACAGGTCACTGTGCAATAGGGAGCAGTAGTTTTCCCACAGTTTAGCTAGCTATCTTTTGTTGTAGGCTAGTTTGCAGCGGCTGCAGCAGGTGTTATCGAAGAGGATGTTTTTGCTAATTTGTTAGCGTCTCCCTTTTCAAGAATAACTTTCAACAAAAAGTTACGTTTCAAATGATCATCATCTGGTGAGTGGAACTGTGTTTTTTATTGCAGCTCGCATGCTGTTGTTAGCCATCTCTTTCAAAATAACTGACCCTACATGACCAAAAGTATGTGGACACCTGCTCGTCGAACATCTCATTCCAAAATCATGGGCATTTAATATGGAGTTGGTTTCCCCTTTGCTGATATAACAGCCTCCACTCTTCTGGGAAAGCTTTCCACTAGATGTTGGAACATTGCTGCGGGGACTTGCTTCCATTCAGCCACAAGAGCACTAGTGAGGTCGGGCACTGATGTTGGGCGATTAGGCCTTGCTCGCAGTCAGCGTTCCAATTCATCCCAAAAGTGTTCGATGGGGTTGAGGTCAGGGTTCTGTGAAGGCCAGTCAAGTTCTTCCACAACGATCTCGACAAAACATTTCTGTATGGACCTTGCTTTGTACACAGGGGCATTGTCATGCTGAAACAGGAAAGGGCCTTCCCTAAACTGTTGCCACAAAGTTGGAAGCACAGAATCGTCTAGAATGTCATGGTATGCTGTAGTGTTAAGATTTCCCTTCACTGGAACTGAGGGGCCTAGCCCAAACCATGAAAAACAGCTCCAGACCATTATTCTTCCTCCGCCAAACTTTACAGTTAGCACTATGCATTGAGGCAGCGTTTTCCAGGCATCCGCCAAACCCAGATTTGTCCGTCGGACTGGATGGTGAAACGTGATTCATCACTCCAGAGACCGCGTTTCCGCTGCTCCAGAGTCCAATGGCGGCGAGCTTTACACCACTCCAGCCGACGCTTGGCATTGTGCATGGTGATATTAGGCTTGTGTGCAGCTGCTTGGCCATGGAAACCCATTTCATGAAGCTTCCAACAAACAGTTATTGTGCTGACGTTGCTTCCAGAGGCAGTTTGGAACTCTGGGACAGACGTGGACAGACGATTTTTACACGCTTCAGCACTCGGCGGTGTCGTTCTGTGAGCGTGTGTGGCCTACCACTTTGCGGCAGAGCCGTTATTGCTCCTAGACGTTTCCAATTCACAAAAACAGCACTTATAGTTAACCGGGGCAGCTCTAGCAGGGCAGAAATTTGACAAACTGACTTGTTGGAAAGGTGGCATCCTATGACGGTGCCACGTTGAACATCACTGAGCTCTTCAGTAAGGGCATTTTACTGCCGATGTTTGTCTATGGAGATTGCATAGCTGTGTGCTCGATGTTATACACCTGTCAGCAACGGGTGTGGCTGAAATAGCCAAATTCACTAATTTGAAGAGGTGTCCACATACTTTTGAATGTATAGTGTATGTGTGTGAAACATTGTTGCATTTAAACTTTAGATCACCGGTTACTTTGTGTACTAAACGTGAAATGTTTTTTGCAATGGGAAGTAATAGTTGTACATTTCCATTGGGCCCTATGCAGTTTTGTAGTGGTGCCTGGAGAAATGGGTCCTGTGTGAAGGAAAGGCGCCCTGTGTGAAAAATCCAATGTATTCCTATAGATTTGTCAGATTTTCACTGTCAAAATGTGATGTTCTAAGTCCACAATAATGCTTAAACCACATCAGGAGACCATTTTTGAGGTCTGGGAAAAATCAAAATAATATATTTTTGGAGGGTGTAGTTGCCCTTTACTTCAATTGAACAAAACAAATGCCCTCACCATTGATACAAATCAGCATTATATATTTCTGTCAAGTAGGCCTACATTGCAGTCAACATTTAATTGGGAAGTTTTTTTGGGAAAGCCTTTAGAAATGTTCATGCAAACAGCACATGATGAATGCAAATAGCCTACTAACCAAGACTAAGGACCGAAATTTTTCAATACCTGGTTTGCATACCCATTGTTGGCTTAGTTAGCAATTACAGGTAGATATCATAAGTTGAAACGTCTTTCCTACCTACCGGCTACCGATATCATTCTTCTGTGAGCTACTCCATGCGACAAACAGTTGAGAGCTGCGCGCTCTTGTTGCCTGCAGATTATATTCTGCTGAAACAAGGCTATGTGTGCTGCGAGCATATTAATATATTTCACGTGCTTTGCAATTGTGTAGGCTACTTTGTGCATTATTTCTCTATTGTACTACATAATTAATAATGTGTATACCTCCAGTACACTACTTTGATACTGTATGCAACAGAAGGGATTAAGGAGTGCGTATAGGCAATGCCCACAAAAAAACAAGTGAGTATAGGGCGTATACCTGCATATAGCCTCCACTAAAAGTGCACTCTCCTACATGAGTACGCTGGTATTACAGTTGATCTCCTTTCAGCATCACGAGCCTGTCACACACTTAAGGCCTATGTCCAATAGGTTTGCCACTGTGCAAACATGTCTATAATAGATATTTACATTTACATTTTAGTCATTTAGCAGACGCTCTTATCCAGAGCGACTTACAGTTAGTGAGTGCAGACATTATTTTTTAATACTGCCCCCCCGTGTCTCCCCTTACTAATGGTGAGCATGCAACTTTCCAACAATTTCCCCCACTCTTCCCTACTAGCTAGTCAAGGAAATTCAGACAAAGTTAGACAATTTTTAAATGAAAGTAAAGGACAGTAATTGTTTCTCATGGTCTGAGAGTCCTTTAGGTACCTTTTGGCAAACTCCAAGCGGGCTATCATGTGCCTTTTTACTGAGGAGTGGCTTCCGTCTGGCCATTCTATCGTAAAGGCCTGATTTGGTGGAGTGCTACAGAGATGGCTGACCTTCTGGAAGGTTCTCCCATCTCCACAGAGGAACTCTGGAGCTCTGTCAGAGTGACCATCGGGTTCTTGGTCACCTCCCTGATTGCTCAGTTTGGCCAGGCAGCCAGCTCTAGGAAGAGTCTTGGTGGTTCCAAACTTCTACCATTTAAGAATGATGGAGGCCACTGTGTTCTTGCGGACCTTCAATGCTGCAGACATTTTTTGGTACCCTTCCCCTGATCTGTGGCCCTACACAACATTGTCTCGGAGCTCTACGGACAATTTCTTCGACCTCATGGCTTGGTTTTTGCTCTGACATGCACTGTCAACTGTGGGACCTTATATAGACAGGTGTGTGCCTTTCCAAATCATGTCCAATCAATTGAATTTACCACAGGTGGACTCCAATCAAGTTGGAGAAACATCTCAAGGATGATCAATAGAAACAGGATGCACCTGAGCTCAATTTAGTCTCATAGCAAAAGGTCTGAATACTTATGTAAATAAGGTATTTCAGTTTTTCATTTTTTATAAATGTGCAAAAATGTTTTTAAAAAAATAGTTTTTTGCTTTGTCATTATGGGGTATTGTGTGTAGATTGAGGGGAAAAATTATTTAATCAATTGTAGAATAAGGCTGTAACATAACAAAATGTGGAAAAGGTAAAGGGGTCTGAATACTTTCCAAATGCACTGTATGTTTCAAGAAAGAAGTGTATTTATTTTGCCTGGCGAAGCCTTTTATGCACTGACTGAATGGAAGCTGATAATTATTCATTTTTTACTCCGCTGGTCTCTGGAAGAAATTACAATTCCTCACTGTCCAAAACCGAGTCAAGACCGAGTAAAAATGTATCCCACACCCAGACAAGACCGAGACACTCAATATGTGGTCTCAAAAGCGAGACCGGTCTCGAGTACAACAACACTAGCTCAAACCTTTGAAATATCCCCAAATCTTATTAAAGTGATTAATGATCATGACCGCCCAGAGCATTTTCTTCATCGGTAAACAGCCAACTCTGCCCTTTTGAGAAATCTTTGCCATTGCTTTTCTTATTTGAGAGTACTATACGCTTATTACAGATATGAGCCCCAGTAAATCACATTTCAATAAAAGCAGCCAGAGCATTGTCTGGGGGACTTTCACATTTGTCTAAAAGGAATTGGATATTATATGTTCTCATTAAATCAAAATTACTAATGGGACAAAATCCTTGAATGTACCCTCTCTCCTTCTCCCTGGGGCTGGGGCTAGGGCTAGCCTAACCTGGGGCTGGGGCTAGATCCCTGGGGCTAGCCTGGCCAGGCACAGCTTATAGAGAGACTGGTTCTGCATCACAAAGAATACATTCATACTTTGAGGCCTTTTGCCAGTAACCTCACATACCCCCACTTTATGTTTACCCAATAACCACACTAGCCTCTAGCAAGTGTAAAAAGGCCACTTCCCATTCACAGAAAAGGATGACAGTCATTTAGTGGTTGGGATTAGATATATTTCCAAGGACACTGAAACCTCACCCATATTTAGTTGGACACTGTAATGACTTGTTTTCCTCCCCACAGACTATTGCCAAAGTTCTTCTGCAGTACAGTGCCATTCTGACCAAGACCTTCCCCTCCTACTCTGACAAAGAGAAGATCGTAAGTCTTCATATCCTGCCTACACAACATATCCTTGGTGGGTTTTTTTTGCTGAGTTTTAAAAGGGTCTCTGTATCTATCTATCACTCTCTCTCTCTTCCCCTGTGTAGCCATGCGTACTGATGAATAATGTGCAGCAGTTGCGTATCCAGCTGGAGAAGATGTTTGAGTCCATGGGTGCCAAACAGGTAAGCAGCAACACTATGTATAGGAAGAAGAGATAATAAGAAATAGCTTATTCCACAGATGGGTAAGATGGAGCCGGGTGGAAGGTGGGGGTGAACAGTGTTCTTCCTCACTGTGCTACGGACCACCAGGAACCTCCTGGAGAAGACTACAGGTGCGGTGTGTCTCTTGGCTCATGCAGCTGATTGAGCAGACTAGTAGGTTTGGATTTAAAGGAGTGAATGATGTGCTACTCTGGCATCACACCTAGAGAAATAAAGAATCTCAGCTATGTGTGAAGTTGTGAACATATGGTTCAATGATGTTGAAACTGCTCTTCATAGACAAGATTATGAACATGGTATTTGTGTCTTTCTGTACCAGATAGTAAACGAGGAAGCAATGGTATGGAGATGGTCCACATGATTTAGAGCAGTGGTTCTCAACTGGTTTTGCCTCTGGACCTAAATTGAACCAGGTTGTCTGTCGCAACTCAATATTTGCATCCCAACTACTTTTTATGATAATTTGATAGTAAATGTAGCAGTAATATGACAAGGGAACAATAGTCCCACCTTTTTCATTGTCAATAATTCATTGTTGCCCATATTCTTGATGAAGAATATTAAGCTCACTGGTTTGAGACCACAAAATCAACCAAATCCGCTAAATAGTTCTCTATTGAAAATATCGTGAATATTGAATATTTCTTTTTTTTCACATTAACATACAGTGGGGGGGAAAAGTATTTAGTCAGCCACCAATTGTGCAAGTTCTCCCACTTAAAAAGATGAGAGAGACCTGTAATTTTCATCATAGGTACACGTCAACTATGACAGACGAAATGAGAAAAAAAAATCCAGAAAATCCCATTGTAGGATTTTTTATAAATTTAATTGCAAATGATGGTGGAAAATAAGTATTTGGTCACCTACAAACAAGCAAGATTTCTGGCTCTCTCAGACCTGTAACTTCTTCTTTAAGAGGCTCCTCTGTCCTCCACTCGTTACCTGTATTAATGGCACCTGTTTGAACTTGTTATCAGTATAAAAGACACCTGTCCACAACCTCAAACAGTCACACTCCAAACTCCACTATGGCCAAGACCAAAGAGCTGTCAAAGGACACCAGAAACACAATTGTAGACCTGCACCAGGCTGGGAAGACTGAATCTGCAATAGGTAAGCAGCTTGGTTTGAAGAAATCAACTGTGGGAGCAATTATTAGGAAATGGAAGACATACAAGACCACTGATAATCTCCCTCGATCTGGGGCTCCACACAAGATCTCACCCCGTGGGGTCAAAATGATCACAAGAACGGTGAGCAAAAATCCCAGAACCACACGGGGGGACCTAGTGAATGACCTGCAGAGAGCTGGGACCAAAGTAACAAAGCCTACCATCAGTAACACACTACGCCGCCAGGGACTCAAATCCTGCAGTGCCAGACGTGTCCCCCTGCTTAAGCCAGTACATTTCCAGGCCCGTCTGAAGTTTGCTAGAGTGCATTTGGATGATCCAGAAGAGGATTGGGAGAATGTCATATGGTCAGATGAAACCAAAATATAACTTTTTGGTAAAAACTCAACTTGTCGTGTTTGGAGGACAAAGAATGCTGAGTTGCATCCAAAGAACACCATGCCTACTGTGAAGCATGGGGGTGGAAACATCATGCTTTGGGGCTGTTTTTCTGCAAAGGGACCAGGACGACTGATCCGTGTAAAGGAAAGAATTAATGGGGCCATGTATCGTGAGATTTTGAGTGAAAACCTCCTTCCATCAGCAAGGGCATTGAAGATGAAACGTGGCTGGGTCTTTCAGCATGACAATGATCCCCAACAAACCGCCCGGCCAACGAAGGAGTGGCTTCGTAAGAAGCATTTCAAGGTCCTGGAGTGGCCTAGCCAGTCTCCAGATCTCAACCCCATAGAAAATCTTTGGAGGGAGTTGAAAGTCCGTGTTGCCCAGCGACAGCCCCAAAACATCACTGCTCTAGAGGAGATCTGCATGGAGGAATGGGCCAAAATACCAGCAACAGTGTGTGAAAACCTTGTGAAGACTTACAGAAAACGTTTGACCTGTGTCATTGCCAACAAAGGGTATATAAATAAGTATTGAGAGACTTTTGTTATTGACCAAATACTTATTTTCCACCATAATTTGCAAATAAATTCATTAAAAATCCTACAATGTGATTTTCTGGATTTATTTTCATCATTTTGTCTGTCATAGTTGACGTGTACCTATGATGAAAATTACAGGCCTCTCTCATCTTTTTAAGTGGGAGAACTTGCACAATTGGTGGCTGACTAAATACTTTTTTTCCCCACTGTATGCCCATGTTGATTTATATTATTTCCCTAGATCAACTTCCTAGAGGGTATTAAGCTGTGTACAGTATATAGGTTTTCATGACCTTCCCTCTGTTTAGCATCCCTAGTTAAGAGCACAATGTAGTATATGTATGTTAAGTATGAAGAGGACCGGCTTTATTCTGAATTATTGTCCCATTCTTACTGAGTAGTAACTGAGTTATTATTTTGTTTGGATGTTGAGTAAAGTGGTTAGTAGTTTGGCCTAGTAATCCCTTAGTTTTGGCTTACACACCCATGATTGAATTATAGCAATAAACTTTAAGAACTTGAGTTTAAATAGATGTTTCCTTCACTGCTAAAGATTGATAGCAGGTGGATGATGATGATGATGATGATGATGAAGAAGAGGAAGAGAAGGTGGCTGTGCTTTCCCTTTTGGTTGGGGACAGTTTGATAGTTACCAAAGTGGTGGTGTAGATAGAGCGTCTAACTCACCTCCCCCATGACCAGCAAGTCATAACTGATTTATGAGGAGAGAGACTCTGGTGGGTTTATGACATCATTAGAAGACTGAACATGGAGACTGTAGAATAGAGTTAACCCCACAGAGATCTTATTAAATTATTCAAATTCCTAATTCTATGGTTCACCTTCTATAGAGCCTTTAGGAATCCCCATAGTAAAACCATAGACGACTCAATTAGCTTTCTCTGATGATAGCTCCCTGCGGCCTATTAGAGGTGAGTATTTAGTCTTTTACAGTGTAATGGAAAGAACTTCTGCACACCGAGGATCAATTTCAGTGATTAGGGCTGTGAAAGTGTGAAATGCATATAGGGAACTAGCATCCAGAATTGTTTGTGTATTCACTGCTGATGAATGGCATATGGCTTGTGGTTGGGTTTTTGTAACGTAAGTCATTCAGTGTTACATTCTAATGAATGCAGATAGTGGAACTTTAATCTGAGCTCTGTGGTTTCGAAGAAGCACAACTCTGGGGTCGTGTGATGCCGAGGTGTTGTCTTGTTTGTGTCACGGCTCCGGCAGGGGAGGAGGGAGATATGGGATGTGTGTGGGAGGGAATGATTAGGAAGTGAGTTTTCAGAGGAAGCTTAAGAGAAAGAGTTCACAGGAACTTCACAGTACACGCTGCCACGCTCTCATCTGCCTGTCAAGACAAGTTAAGCACTTGAAAGACGAGACACACCGTTGGAGTAAACTTTTTTGCAGTTTTTGGTATGGTCGTAGATCGTTGACTGATAATGGCTATTCTACTGTACACCTCTTTATCTGTATCCTGGAAAGCCTTCATACAGGTATTCATTATAGTCACTCTGACCTTCGAACTGTGGCGCTGACTTTTCTCACTTATTAGGAATAAAATAAACTTGGGCATTTCCCCCCCTTTTTTTTTCTCCCCCAGGGCAACATGGGCAAAATGTTTGCATGGCGGCAGGTGGGTGTAAGATGAGGATATTATATATGTGAATGTATGGACATTCTGTACATGGATATATATATATATATATATATATACAGTAATATATCGTTTTTGAACCTCAAGTAGAAAACTGACGATGATCCCTTTTCCATACAGAAAATGATACTGTACCATCATTGTTGGCATAGTCGACTGCTGTAACTTGTAAACCAACTCCCAGTGTATCAATCAGTTCTCTGAGGGTGAGATCAACCGTTCTGCCTCTGGCTAAGTTGGAGGTTCACAGAATGTTTTAGTTTTTTTGTCTCACTCCAACCCTTCAGGAAAGTGTGGAGGTGGGGGTGGTTGAGGAGGACCAAGTTGAGGTTTGTTGTTGGTGTAGTAGAGGTTTGTCAACACACGCATTCACCACGTCATTGTGCCGTCTCCTGGTGGAACCAGACACTGTCATGGTTTCCCTGGTGATTGATCTTGTTGGGTTTTTCACTTGTCATCTGTTTGGTAAATATCTTTCCTTTTATGACCAAGGTGTTATCCTTAACCTGTCCTCCAACTCCAAGTGCAGTCTTCTCGCTATCCATTACACAGATATCTCCTTCCCACAATGTAATTTTCTCCTAGACTGCTGTGGAATCAATTTATTTGTTATTTTCTTTATTTTGTTTGCAAAGACTGACAAAAAGAAGGTGTGTTCATTACAAACAAATGTTCCATACATACAGTATGTGCTCGCACAGTATGCATGCAAAGGTTTACTTGACCACTTTTACTTTACTTGACCCTTTTTATAAATGTATTTTGATTAAATTAGTTTGCGTTACAGGTAGAGAGATATCTGTTGTGCTTGATCATCTCTATGTGTTAGTACATATAGGTAACTGCCAAAATAAAGGAAACACTTGCGTAAATGAGGGTTATGGCGGCTCTGTTATGGTGTGGAGTGCATTTCCTGGCATGGTTTAGGTCCACTCAACCCCTTATACGGCAAGGTAAATGCCATTCTGAGTGATCAACTTCAACCTATGGTGAATAATTTCTATCCTGATGGGAGTGGTCTCTTCCAGGATGACAATGCCGCCATCCACAGGGCACGAGTGGTCACTGAATGGTTTGATGAGCATGAAAACGATGTAAACCATATACCATGGCCGTCTCAGTCACCAGATCTCAACCCAATTGAACACTTATGGGAGTTTCTAGAGAGTGTTTTCTACCACCATCAACAAAACAACAAATTATGGAATTTCTCACGGAAGAATGGTGTCACATCCCTCCAATAGACTTGTAGAATCTATGCCAAGGCGCATTGAAGCTGTTCTGGCGGCTCGTGGTGGCCCTACGCCCAATTAAGACACTTTATGTTGGTGTTTCCTTAATTTTGGCAGTTACCTGTTGCTATCCATAGTTATTGCAACAACAGACACATTTGACAGGCTTTATTTTTTTTTATTTTTTTTTCCTTTCAAAGATTGATGCACCACAAGAGGAAACGGTGGGTTTCTCCCTGCGTTGTGTTATGGAGGGGTAGCTATGCTGCTCACAAAAATGACACTGGTTCATTGGTCAAAAGATTTACCAATCGGTTTTCATTTGCTTTTCAGATATTTGCCATATAGCAGTGTGGGTTGTTTTTACCCAATACTATCTCTTCATAAGAGACGGCAATACATGTTGCCGTATCTTTTTTCCCCTACCACTCTCTGATAGCCTGAAAAGAAAGAGGAGAAGGTGAGTGTAGTAAGGATGTGATGTCCTCAGTGAGTGGCCATCCCCACTAACACACTCTCATGTATCACTGTCACTAAAAGTCACATACTCAGCAGTATACACACGTACAGGATGCTCATGAAAAACCTACTCAGTCTCTCCCTATAGCCCCTGTAAGCCTTACTTGTATCCACTGGTGCAGAACTCATTAAGTAGTCTCCCCCACAGCTGTCCTATACTGTACCCTGGTCTACACTCTAGACATGTAGTCTCTGGCAGTCCATGTATTAGCTGGCTTATTGTAGCATTAGCTTAATGGGCCGCATCATGTTGTCATCTGTCTGGCTGGGGTTGCTTTAGGCCTCTGTGAGATGGTTTCTGTCAGACCGATGCTGTGGTTGTAGAACTGGGACACATTGTGACCCCTGGTGGCTCCTCTAATAGTGTGTACCTCTGAGTCAATATCATGAATCTGCTGTCATATTAAACCTCCATTTTCTTTCATCTTCTTTCTTTGAAGGTGGTGATTATTAAGGGGGGGAAAGGTGGGTTAGTCTGCAGGAGTGTGTCTAATAAAACAGAGTGACTGTAACTAACTGGAAGAGAAGTAGCAGTGATATGTTGTGTATTGGAATTAAAGGGGATCTCTCCTGTTTTCACCGTTGCTATGAAAATGATGTTTGAATGACCATTGCCTTTTCTTGCATTGCGTGTTCATTTACTGGCGAAAAGAAAGAAATGTCTCCATTGCTGCTGGATTATTGTGTGTGCTCTACTTTGACTTGCAATGTGCATACTTTACAGTATGTGTATTCTCTGGAGTCAGGGAATTATCTTGGTGTTTTTTTTCTCCCATATTTATGGTTTTTGAGAATCATGCTAAGCTGATATAAAATGTTACATGGTAAAGTAAAACATGTGCTGTACTCATACTTATCAGACTATCTCTGTGTACTTCTCTGTGTCTGTCTGTCTGCCTTTCTCTGTCTGCCTGTAGCTGGACACAGACGCTAGTGACCTCCTGAATGAGCTTCAGGTCAAGCTGAACAATGTGCTGGATGAGCTGAGTACCACATTTGGAAACAGGTACACACACCCACACACACAACACAGTCCCAAGATTCAAACATGTACACTCTCCCCAGACTCTATAACTCTGTCACTCACTCATAATGTTTGTGCTGTAGTCTCATTGCACACAGCCTCTGTAGTATATGGAGTCCATTTTGGCTCTGACCCCTGTGGCTCCTTTCTCTCCTGTAGTTTCCATGTCCGTATTGATGACTGTATGAGACAGATGGCCTCTCTGCTGTACCAAATCAAGGGCCCAGTCAACGCCAACAGCCGCAACATGGTGGAGGCCGACTCCGACAACATGCTGCGGCCACTCATGGACTTCCTGGATTCAAAGTGAGTGGATCCCTTGATTCCCTCCTGCTTCCCTATGGCCACTGATTTGGTGGTGTACATTTAAGGGCCTTCTCTCTGAAGTCAAAGGTTTTATTGTCAGTATGTTGTGCCATGTTGCATGATTGTGTATTTGTTGATGTGTTATGTGTGGTGTCCCACTGAACGTGTGTGTGTGTGCAGGTTGACGCTGTTTGCCAAGGCGTGTGAGAAGACTGTTCTGAAGCGGGTTCTGAAGGAGCTGTGGAGGATTGTGATGAGTAGCCTGGAGAAGACCATCGTCCTGCCGCAAGGAAATGACACCTTTGTAAGACCTAACACCCTCAACCTTTACCTTAAAAACGCCAAACACACTCTCCTAATGCTATGGGTGTTCCTCTCCTCCCCATATGGAAATAAAATACATTTCAATATATTTAACCTCAAGTAAAATGTATTTCAAATACATGTAGATACATTTACATCTTTGTTCAAATGCATGTAATGCCTGACAATATTCCAGAAATGCTTGGCTATGACATCTATTCTACAGGGTGGCCAAAGTGGTTCCTAATTCGGCTTCTTAAATTACTCTTTACGTATTGATCAATGGAGATACAGTGGGGAAAAAAAGTATTTAGTCAGCCACCAATTGTGCAAGATCTCCCACTTAAAAAGATGAGAGAGGCCTGTAATTTTCATCATAGGTACACGTCAACTATGACAGACAAATTGAGAAAAGAAAATCCAGAAAATCACATTGTAGGATTTTTAATGAATTTATTTGCAAATGATGGTGGAAAATAAGTATTTGGTCACCTACAAACAAGCAAGATTTCTGGCTCTCACAGACCTGTAACTTCTTCTTTAAGAGGCTCCTCTGTCCTCCACTCGTTACCTGTATTAATGGCACCTGTTTGAACAAAGGGTATATAACAAAGTATTGAGAAACTTTTGTTATTGACCAAATACTTATTTTCCACCATAATTTTCAAATAAATTCATTAAAAATCCTGCAATGTGATTTTCTGGATTTTTTTTCCTCATTTTGTCTGTCATAGTTGACATGTACCTATGATGAAAATTACAGGCCTCTCTCATCTTTTTAAGTGGGAGAACTTGCACAATTGGTGGCTGACTAAATACTTTTTTTCCCCACTGTACTTTTTTGGGCCACCAAGCCAAAACTTTGGCAGTGATATAATTTAAATTGTGTTGGTGAGTGATTGTCTTTGTTTTGATTTCACCAAATGTTTGTTCAACTTCATAAAAACATTTTTTTTCCATCTCAAATAAAAAAATGTTGTACTATAGTAAGGGCCTCACTTCAGCTTCATTAAACAAACAGCCTAGAGATGGGGCACAAGGCTGTTTTTATTTTATTTTAATTTTTTATAGATTTAAACAAAAACTGTACATCGTACAATGCTCCACAATGTGTCAAAGTATAGGTCTTCCAATGAGAGGCATTATATTCTACAATGTTTTTCTACATTTTTCCTATAGGGGATTTAAGAAACACTTAAAATAAGGGCTGTGTTTCGTGTAGGCTTACCTTGGCGTGACGTTTTGACATTAGATAGTTAATGCAAAGATTCTTACCTTTGCCTCGATTCGGCAGTCTCGTCCAGATCATCATGGCATTTGTAGTTCTTAATGATAGCCACGTTAGCAGCTAATTAGCATTTCATTTTGGGGGGGTAAATACAGGCGAATATGTTGATAAAAGTCACCTTGTCCTAGAGACATTTACACAGGTACCAAAACGTCACGCCAGGGTAAGCCTACATGAAGCACAGCCCTTATTTTAAGTGTTTCTAAAATCCCCAAGGGAAAAAATGGAACCATTTCCCTGTTTGATCGCTAGGTTTTATGGGTATTATGACTCATACTGTGGTACTCTATAAGGGATCAAAGCTTTCACCTGGATTCACCTGGTCAGTCTGTCATGGAAAGAGCAGGTGTTTATGTTTTCTACACTCATTGTGATAGACATTTGAAATACATTCCTTGATAACAGTACCAGTAAAAAGTTTGGACACATACTCATTCTTGGGTTTTTCATTATTTTTACTATTTTCTACATTGTAGAATAATAATGAAGACATCAAAACTATGAAATAACACACATAGAATCATGTATAACCAAAAAAGTGTTAAACAAATCAAAATATATTTTATATTTGAGATTCTTCAAATTAGCCACCCTTTGCCTTGATGACAGCTTTGCACACTCTTGGAATTCTCTCAACCAGCTTAACCTGGAATGCTTTTCCAACAGTCTTGAAGGAGTTGCTACATATGCTTAGCACTTGTTGGCTGCTTTTCCTTCACTCTGCGGTCCAACTCATCCCAAACCATCTCAATTGGGTTGAGGTAGGGTGATTGTGGAGGCCAGGTCATCTGATGCAGCACTCCATCACTCTCCTTCTTGGTCAAATAGCCCTTACACAGCCTGGAGGTGTGTTTTGGGTCATTGTCCTGTTGAAAAACAAATGATAGTCCAACTAAGCGCAAACAAGGGAAACAACAATGGGATGGCGTATTGCTGCAGAATGCTGTGGTAGCCATGCTGGTTAAGTGTGCCTTGAATTCTAAATAAATCACCAACAGTGTCACCAGCAAAGCACCATCACACCTCCTCCTCCATGCTTCACGGTGGGAACCACACATGCGGAGATCATCCGTTCACCTACTCTGCGTCTCACAAAGACACGGAGGTTGGAACCAAAAATCTCAAATTTGGACTCATCAGACCTAAGGACAGATTTCCACCAGTCTAATGTCCATTGCTCATGTTTCTTGGCCCAAGCAAGTCTCTTCTTATTATTGGTGTTCTTTAGTAGTGGTTTCTTTGCAGCAATACGACCATGAAGACCTGATTCACGCAGTCTCCTCTGAACAGTTGATGTTGAGATGTGTCTGTTACTTGAACTCTGTGAAGCATTTATTTGGGCTGCAATTTCTGAGGCTGGTAACTCTAATGAACTTATCCTCTGCAGCAGAGGTAACGATGGGTCTTCCTTTCCTGTGGCGGTCCTCATGAGAGCCAGTTTCATCATAGCGCTTGATGGTTTTTGCGACTGCACTTGAAGAGGCGTTCAAAGTTCTTGAAATGTTCGGCATTGACTGACCTTCATGTATTAAGGTAATGATGGACTGTCGTTTCTATTTGCTTATTTGAGCTGTTCTTGCCATAATATGGACTTGGTCTTTTACCAAATAAGGCTATCTTCTGTATACCACCCCTACCTTTTCACAACACAACTGATTGGCTCAAACGCATTAAGAAGGCAAGAAATTCCACAAATTAAATTTTTAACAAGGCACACCTGTTAATTGAAATGCATTCCAGGTGACTACCTCATGAAGCTGGTTGAGAGAATGCCAAGAGTGTGCAAAGCTGTCATCAAGGCAAAGGGTGGCTATTTTGAAGAATCTCAAATATAAAATATATTTAGATTTGTTTAACACTTTTTTGGGTACTACATGATTCCATATGTGTTATTTCATAGTTTTGATGTCTTCACTATTATTCTACAATGTAGAAAATAGGAAAAATAAAGAAAAACCCTTGAATGAGTAGGTGTGTCCAAAGTTTTGACTGGGACTGTATGTTGGAATGTATTTCAAATGTGTATATATATATATTTTTATATATATATATATATTATTTGGCAATTTCTACCTATTTCACATGTATCCTAAAAAATGTATCTACAAATATAGTTTTTATGTATTTGTTTTCCGTATGGGTCAGGGGGCTCAGATCCTGTCTGCAGCCAAGGAACTGGGGCCGCTCTCCAAGCTCAAGGATCACATGGCAGGAGAGGCGAAAAGCCTGACACCGAAACAGTGTGCTGTCATGGATATAGCACTGGACACAATCAAGGTTTGTGTTGTGTTTAAGTTTATAGTCACACATACCCCTGTGATAAAGTTACTACTTACAGTAGTTGCTGATGGGACGTTGTTGCTGAGCCTTTAATTACTGTCCTCATTCATTGCATAGTAGGAAAACAAACCCTCCATCTCCCTCTGTTTTCCCCTCTTTTCCCTTTCTCTCTCCCTCTCTCTTCTGCAGCAATACTTCCATGCTGGAGGAAACGGTCTGAAGAAGGCATTCCTGGAGAAGAGTTCTGAGTTGACCTCACTACGCCATGCTCTGTCCCTCTACACACAGACCACAGACACACTCATCAAGACCTTCGTCACAACACAACACGCACAAGGTAAGGCGCGTGTGCGCACACACACACACAATAGTATCAGTCTGCGTTCCATTGTTTCTAACTAAATACTGTACATAACAGTCCTAAAATAACTGTTGCTTTTCCCCTGCTTTGCCACCAGGGGTCACCAGGGGTCTTGAGTACTGTTATATTCCAGTAATGGGCCTGAAGTTGATCTAACAGCTAAATACTGTGTGTCTCTATTACATACCTATAAACTAACTTTCTCTGGCTGTGTGACTGTTCCTTGAGTTGTTGTCTAACTCTAACATGACTCTGCTGCCATTTAGTTTTTTTGCTGTTTGTCTTCTCGTTTTCTCCTGTGCTGCCTCTTCACCAGTGCACAATGGGAAGGGTATTAGGTTAACTCCCAACGAAAAAATGCAACCCTCCAGGGGTAGGTTGTGCCAAAAATGGATAGCATGTGCCAAAAACCCCTCCCTCCTTTACTCTGTGCGCTGTACATAAACCCCTTCCCATCTGCCCCTGCCCCTGTGGGTGAGTTTGCCCCAAACATCAACCCTGACTGCTCCTGCTCCTGGTTGTATGACACTACACTACCCATGCCCTCTCCTCCTCCTCCTCCTCCCTAAAGGAAACTACTCCTGGTATCTATAACCACTGACCACCATTGGAAGATAATGTCTTGTGTTTCTATCTGTGTGTACACTAGGCTCAGGAGTGGACAAGCCGGTGGGAGAGATATCCATACAGATCGACCTATTCACCCATCCTGGGACTGGGGAGCACAAAGTCACTGTCAAAGGTTCCTATAGGGATTTGTAAAGGGAAAATGACTCAAATTAACCCTTTTTCTCTGTTACTCCCCATCCCAACGAACTAACGATCTCCTTCCTCATTGTATATCAGTTGTGGGAGCCAATGATCTGAAGTGGCAGACGTCTGGGATGTTCCGGCCCTTTGTGGAGATCACCATGATCGGACCCCACCTCAGTGACAAGAAGCGCAAGTTCCAAACCAAGTCCAAGAACAACAGCTGGGCGCCCAAGTTCAACGAGACCTTCCACTTGTGAGTGCAGAGCCAAGCAATAGTACAGTAGCCTGTTACTTACAATAACCAATAGTAGCCCCTTGAAATAGCCATTGCTCCCCTCCATGTCTCCTCAGTATCCTGGGCAACGAGGATGGCTTTGAGTGCTACGAGCTTCAGATGTGTGTGAAGGACTACTGCTTTGGTCGTACCGACCGGGTGGTGGGGATGGCTGTGATGCAGCTGAGGGACGTGGCAGAAAAAGGCAGCGTGGCGTGCTGGTGCCCTCTGGGCCAAAGGGTCACCGTGGACGAGACAGGCCTCACCGCCATGCGCATCCTCTCCCAGCGCTCAAACGACGAGGTGGCCAAGGAGTTCGTCAAGCTTAAGTCTGAGATACGCTCTGCAGAGGAGGGTAGATGAGGTCTCCCTGAAGGAGGGGAGGAGTGTGAAGGGCCTCTAGTAAAGACAAGTGGAGAGGAATGGGAGAACCTTCATGTCACAGAAGGAAAGCCACTCGACTACTACTTTGGACTAATAATGTTTCCTGGCTGCTACTGGCTGTTTGATGGACACTGGTTCACCAACACACGGTCACTCACACTGTATTTCTCATACTCACCTTATGAATCTCTCACTCACTATATCCCTCACATACCTAGTTTCTCTTTCACTCAGTGGTTATTACATACACACTCTCACACGATAGTGTACTTCCTGTGGGTCTGCCAGTCTTGCACTATGGACATGCCATGGTCACTATGTGCCAGTAATCTCCCTGCCAGCCTGTACGTACTTCAGTACATGGTTTCCCCCTCACCCCACACATTTTTATGTAATGTGCAATACCCCCCAACTGTGGCCATACGTTTGATGCCTTACACTTTGGAAGCTGTGAATGTGTGAAGCTTAGACAAACTGTAACTTATATTACAAAGCTGTTTATTTATCTTCCTCAATCTCACTTTAGTGTTCTTCAGGATCCATGTTAAAGTATAATTGAGTCCAAACGTGGGATGTCATTGTTAATGTTAATGTTGGTGCATTGGTCAAAGTAGATTCACCTGGTTTCTATCATTTTGAGTTCTACCACATGTCAAGTACCCATCTCCTAAACTCCTAAATATAGTGGTTTCTGCTTTTTTTTTTGTATTGAAAGTGGTGCCTTGTGGTGTTTCTGAAGTGATTTCATGTTTGAGTCACCCACCTATTTTCTGACATGTGGTACTGTAACCGCAACAGCACTCAATGTAAAGGGGTTGTAAGTTATGTGTGCCCTACCAGGAATTGGGCTCCTATTCATGACCCATTAATCCCATAAGTGTAGTGTTGACAATGCACTTTGAATGAGTATTTTCTGTAATGCTTTTGAGTCTAAATTGACATCAACATCCTCAACCCAAGGGTTGCCTTCAATAGAGAGAAACTTCCATTAAGGATAGATAGAGGTGAGCACTTTTAATCGCTTATTACATCAAAGTGCAGTGGCGTATGGAGGGCCCTGTCTTAAACTTTGTAATCACTAGGAAATAACCCTGGTGAATAATTTTTTTAAAAAAAATTTAACAAACATTTGGCTAATGTTGCCAACCGTCAATGACAACCATTTTATTGATTGTTTTTCAAATGTATTTATTCCAAATGAAGAATGGGGTCTACAATTGCAAACAAAGAGGGCTGCTAGATAGCGTTTGAGTATTGTTTGCATAGTGGTTGTTTTGAATGACTTTGTGCTGCAGTTTCCTGGCAGTACCCTACAGATACTAACTGGACCTAGAGGATCTTTTGGGGACCAGAGGAGTTTAAACAGTTTTCATCTCCGTTGAGGAAAAGGCTATTATTTTCCAGCTATGCTTCCATGTATCTCTGAGTGGCCTTGCTACTGTGGTGATAATAGAAGCTGTCTATATAATACCTGTTTTACCCCTTGTTTTCTGTGTATTTCTTTTGTTGAACAACGATGCAGATGATTGGTCAATTTGCCCCAAATCAACTGTATTTAATCATATTGGAGGATTTGTATTTGTTAAATATTTGTTGAGATGTAGTTATTCTCTTAGTCTTTTTATTATTCTTTTTTTTTAAATCCCCATTTTGATCCCTCTTTTGGAAACGTGGAATGATGATGCTGTTCAGTGTTGTATTCATTCGCTTAAGGTGTGATGCATGCCTATCAACTCCTTCATAGAAATGAGGGGAGAAAAAAATCACACTCCTACCGAAAATATTTGAGTATTTGTCAAGTAACACTGCCGTTGTCCATACAATTATAGTCCATTTGTTGAATAGGAAACCACTGCAAAATCACACACTGCAAAAGCTATATCTGGGCTTTATATACAGTATCTACTGTACCAATGTCTTTTTGGCTGTTGATTTAGGGGAAAATATCGACTTTTAAGGAGGGCACTGCCATTCTGTAAGATACATTCCTTGTGCCAAGCTGTCCAAGTGTTCACTTTTTATAATTTCATTCTGTTTTTTAATACATCGTTTTTTTTAATTCGTGAACCTTTGCACTATTATTAAATCACTACAATAGTTAGCATGTATAGTATATCAGTCAAAGTACTTTTGTGAAGTTTTATTTGTATTATTGCCACTGGGAAAATATTGGTATTGTGTACATTCCAATTTATGAGTTTTGTATAAAGTATTTAAGAAATATCTATTGTGTCTAGCCAATTTTGTGTGTTTTCCTTTACAAAAAATATGATTCTCATCTCTAGATTCATGGATTTTACTCCCGAGTGGCGCAGCGGTCTAAGGCACTGCATCTCAGTGCTTGAGGCATCACTACAGACCCCCTGGTTCGATTCCAGGCTGTATCACAACCAGCCGTGATTGGGAGTCCCATAGGGTGGCGCACAAATGGCCCAGCGTCCTCCGGGTTTGGCCAGTTTAGGCCGTCATTGTAAATACGAATTTGTTCTTAACTGACTTGCCTAGTTAAATAAAGGTAAAATAAAATAAAAAATAAATGTATTTTCCTGCTGTTTTTGCCAGTAATATTTTATTTCATAATCAAAATAATTTCATATTGCAGCTATGCTATTTGTAAGTGATAAAATACAAACCATTGTTGCATAAAACTAAAGAATGTTAGATGTTCTCAAATATCCTTTTCCATTTGGTATTTCGGAAATGTCTGGATGATACCTTGCCATTTCTCTCCAAGCTGCAGCTGTTGAGTTTGGTAGTGCCTTCTTTTATAAAAGACACGTGCCCTGAAAAGACCACTCTGCCCTTGAAGAAGGGTCATGAAGATGTCAATCACCACAAGGTAAGACATGCACTCAGTAATAATCAAAATGTGTCTCTTCAACATTCCCTGATATCATGTGCGTGTGTGTGTGTCCATGCTTCTGTGGCTGTGTGTCCATTTGCCCATTGGCTCATAACGAAGTCCTGGGGACTACAGAGGACCCTTTTGTACTCATGTCCAGGTTTTGAATTTCACCTGTGGCTCTGAAGCTCTGAGATTCTGTTCAACATCCTCCCCCCACTTTCATAACAATCATCGCAATTCCGATGGTATTAACACTTCTAGTCCACATACGAGCAATGTCATGATCTAAAGGGTAACATTTATAGACTTTAATCAATATCGTCAAGATCAAAATATAAAATCTATTGTAACGTTGTGCAATATGCCCGTGTGATATGAATTCATATATAGGAAGTGGAAAATAGTGTGTCTGCGCATGCGTCCCCACCTCAGGGTGTGTGTGTGACATACCTGGTATCCTCTGATCTCCCTGGTCATTGCCCCATTGTTTGTTCTGATTGGCCAGTGTCAGTCCCTCACCTCAGTTTTACTGCCGCTCTGCCCCTGCCTCTGCTTTGTGTCTCAACATCCAGGTCCAAAGTTCGCTGGCTGCAGTGTTTGCTCAAGCTCTGTGCCATTACCCTGAGGGGGATCCCGTTCTGTTTCCTGTAGCTGCCCATGACTTTGCCTCCCCCACCCCCTCACACCACACCACTGGGACTCCACCTGCTCTGCTCCACTCTTGCCTCCTATCTAGGAGTCTCAGGAGCCCCTCTGTCTGGGTCTACGTCTTGGTGTAAGTGTGTTTGCCCAGACTGAAGCGCAGTTCTGTCTCCTGGATTTACTCAAGTTCAACTGAAAGGGAGGGCGCGTTGAGGGAGAGAAGCGTGTGTCGTTGGAGACATCCTTAGGCCTACTTCCTGCCCCTCTTTGTTGTACCTGTCTATGTGTCTGTTTTCCGTTGAAGGACCTTGCCTTTCCCGAGAGACTCCGATATCATTCTTCTCACTGAGGTATGTGACTGACATTATTTGCTTTTCTCTAATAATACTGATGCTAACAATGAGGTGAACCTGTGCCTGGGGTCTGTCTAGGAGGGGGTCTGTCGACAAGTTCAGAGACTTTAGAGATGCAGTATTTGGCTAATAAGGAAAAGCTGATCAGTTAATCTAATGAATTTGAACATAATAAACCACTGGGCACAGACATCAATTCAACGTCTGATCCACGTTGGTTTAACATAATTTCATTTAAATGACGTGGAAACAACGTTGGTTCAACCAGTGTATGTGCCCAGTGGGCACTTTGTAACCAAGTGTGTGTGTTCTGGTTCAATGCAGGGAGTAAAGATGCCCAATGTGAAAGTTTCAACTAAAACAAAAATGAAAGAAATATGTGGGAAAGCATGGAATTACGGGGTAGTTTTGGTTTTGGGTGTTGTGGTGGGCGTGAGAGGGTGAGATCCCCTTATGACCTCTGGTTTGGAGTGGATTCAGCTGTTGATTTGTCAGTTTCTGCCAAAACAGATGGTCATTGAACTGCACAATTTCATGGTGACAAACCTGTTGACGTTATAGATGCACAAAGACGTCATGTCGTCTCCCTCAAAAAACAGACCCATTTATTGTACAGTGGGGAGAACAAGTATTTGATACACTGCCAATTTTGCAGGTTTTCCTACTTACAAAGCATGTAGAGGTCTGTAATTTTTATCATAGGTACACTTCAACTGTGAGAGACGGAATCTAAAACAACAATCCAGAAAATCACATTGTATGATTTTTAAGTAATTAATTTGCATTTTATTGCATGACATAAGTATTTGATACATCAGAAAAGCAGAACTTAATGTTTGGTACAGAAACCTTTGTTTGCAATTAGAGATCATACGTTTCCTGTAGGTCTTGACCAGGTTTGCACACACTGCAGCAGGGATTTTGGCCCACTCCTCCATACAGACCTTCTCCAGATCCTTCAGGTTTCGGGGCTGTCGCTGGGCAATACGGACTTTCCGCTCCATCCAAAGATTTTCTATTGGGTTCAGGTCTGGAGACTGGCTAGGCCACTCCAGGACCTTGAGATGCTTCTTACGGAGCCACTCCTTAGTTGCCCTGGCTGTGTGTTTCGGGTCGTTGTCATGCTGGAAGACCCAGCC